ACCCTAACCCTAACCCTAACCCTAACCCTAACCCTAACCCTAACCCTAGTTCGCTTGCATAATTCGCAGAAAGACGATGTTGCCATGCTTGCGTAGCTGATGCGCTCGAGGACTGTTTGCGGGGTCTTCCTACTAACCCTAACCCTCGCGCGCATCCTCGTTCCGTGGCCAAGCCGGAGTTTCGATGATAGGCGGCCGGCGTCTCCATCTCCCAAAGGTGTGGAATGGCTTGCATTCTTGTATGAGCAATAGTGTCCTATATAATGTCTTACTTTGTGCTTAATGCGTTACCATCTCCTTCAGCCAATCCCCGCGCCCTCTGCCCCAGACCCTCTTCCTCGTCCTCGCCTTTCCGCCCGGTGTTCTCGCTTCCCACCCTAGCCACTGTCTGGTCAAAAGCGATGGGGCAAACGCTAGTCGCGGCCGCATCACAATGCGGCACTAGATGTAGGGTCGGGAGACGGTGGGGTAAAGGTGCTGGGAAACGCACCTACAGACTGTACGCATACACTCTGCCTGAGCTGCGTCCGCTTGCCCTTCCGACTCCCTAGCTCCGTGCCCCTTGCTACTTCAGCTAGTGTGTTTGTTGATAATTGATTGTCAAGAGCTGCTTTGTTGGGGATGTGCAATCGGCACGAGTGAGGAGACGACGGTACGAGTGATGCCAGAAAGGGCTCCAAACGACGTGTAGTGGGCTAACCCGGTTTAAACGCCCGACTTGGCGCAATACTTCGATGTTCATTGAGAGATAGAGGAGTGCAAACGGACAAAGGTGCAGAAAAGAAACGCACCTGCGGACCTTGTCCCCGAAACCTCTCCCTGCGCTCTGCCCACTCGCTCATCTCGCTCCTCTACTCTTGTTCTCCTGGGTCCCAGATCTTCAGGTCTCCTTTTTGGCTGTCGGACTCGATTGTTACACGTAGTTTGTCCAGGGTGTGTGATCAGTGAGTGGACTCGCTCGAGAGGTGCTCTGACAAGTGCACATGTCTGTACGATGCCATGGAGACCAAGACCACTGTGGTTTTGATTTTTGGTGACTGCAGAGCCCATTGTTCAGTCCATCCAAGCAGGAAAGTGTCCCAGGTTGCAGACGGAGATGACCGGGGAGGCTGAGACAGAGCCGAGTGTGATGGCATGTAGCAGAAGACTGTATTTGAGCATGGCGTAGTCTACATGTACGAATTGAGCGAGGGGGCGGGGGTGAAATGTGTGCGTCCGCAAGGGTTGCTCGAGATCTGGGGGCTGGATCAGCTGGCGTGGTAAGCACTCACCCTGGTCCCCCTCATTGTGTGTAACCGTCCCCCATTTGCCCTGGAACCCTAGTACCCAAGCCCTGGTCCGATTTCCCCGGCATATCCACCCCACACTCGTTCATTGGCGGCCGTGGTGGCCTGGTCGGATAGATGAGTAGAGCAATGAGTACCACGCTGTGTAGTTGCTAGTCACACTGTCACGCTTCCGATGGCCCGGCCCGCATTTCATCTTCTTGAGGATCCATGCCCGACAACAGAGGATCTGCCCAAAACGAGTGGCCCAATGCATTTGTGGTATTAGGGCCTGTCATATTCTCCAATTTTTATGTGAAAATCTCTATCTCCAGCCTGTGGATCCTCGACTTGAGAGGCTGGCAGGTTTGATCATTTTGATGGCTGCCCGTCAACTTTCACCATGCTCCCATTTCTCGCTCCCTATCCCCCCGCAATGGGTTCTGCCTAGTTTTTTCATTCAATATTCATATTAGGGACCCTTACAAACATTTTGTCTGATTTGACCAATGAAATCCGGGCACTCCCTGCCCCGGGATCCCCGATGCAGTACCCATCACAAAATTTGATGCAGCGGAGCAAAGATGGCTCCCTTCCACACCAACCCCTGGCTCTAAAAATACGAAACTTGGGATTCGAGACCTTGGATACAATGTGTCGAGTCCCAGCAAAAAAAAATGGAGATGTTGTGTAAATAGGGTTTGGGATCCCCGGTTCATCAAAAACGGCCTGGTGAGATGATGCAAAAAAAGTGATCTGATTGTCGGGGGCTGCTACGCAGCCCCCACCCCCCAACCCTGGGATCCAAGTGAAAAATGGATGAAGGGCCTCGAGGGCTTTCATACAAGCCAGGTTTCAAGAAATTTGGTTGAGATTTGAGCTTGGGATCCCCGTTTGCAATGAGATCATTTATTTCGGGGCCAATACCACTAGAACGTGATAGTCCCCATCCCGAAAACGGTCAATCACGGCTTGTCTGGCTTTGACCGTCTTGGTGACCGAGCCGTTGATAGCCAGGACTCGGAACCCGACGTGCTCGAGGAAAACCTGCACGTACTCCATGTACATGGCGAAATACGTGAAGATGATCACCTTTTCGGTGACCGGTTTCGAGCGCTGCGCCTGACTCAGAGTGCCGAGGAATTGGGCGGCTTGAGGGTGATCGGCGGGTGGGAATCCTAATTCCTGCATGCGTACAACGTCGCGCTTGAGAGCCAGAGTGCCCACGACGGACTGGGCACCGGAATCCAGGATTCGTTCCAGGAGCAACGCAATGGCCGTGACCTTAGAGAAGCGGGCGTCCTCCTTGTTCCAGAACGCGTTGACACCGGACGTCTCCACCACTCTCCCCACCGCGGCCTCGGCAAACGAAGTCACTTTCCGAGCTTCGAGGTAAAACGACTGGGCTGGCGTTCAGCAGACGTTGTCGTGACTGTTCCGATACACGTTACCTGCTTCCCTTCCCCGGCCCCTTTCAGCGATACGGCGGCGGTCCCTTGTTGAATGAGCACTTTGTCGCCCCACTCGATCTCGTCAGCATGCGAGGGAGTGACAATGGTGAGCTGCTCCAGCTCTGGGAGTCCGACACCCACGGTTTTCTTGATTGTGCGCAGGGATGCCATGTCTCGCACGAGGACGTGATTGCCCAACAAGTTTCGCTGAAGGGACATGACGTGCTTGAGGGCCGCCATGCTCGCGCCCATGTCCGCGTTGTGCTTCAGGCCTTCGACGCCTGCGGTCAACGCTGACTGTTGCAGTTCAAGGCGGCTCTGTTGGTTTTTGAGGCGTTCGCGGGCTTGGAGACGCGCCGACCCGGCCAAAAGGCGCTCGCATCGATCCAGGATGTGTTGGGGCCCCGTGCTCGGGCGGAGAAGCCGTAGTTGATTGAAGACGTCCTGCGTACGATGAGCGTCGTTGCAGCCGATGTGGAGCTGCCTTACCCTGGGGCTTTCGATGACGGGGGTTCCCGTCATCAGCAGCTTGATGAACGCGACTAGCAGCAGCGCCTGACAGGCACTGAAGACCCTACCGGTCTTGCGGGCCGAGTGCGATTCGTCCAAGACAACCGTTGTCCAGAACCGCGAGTACACTGTCGAGCGCAGGGGCTCCCCGTTCTGGAACGGCAGCCGTGAAGGGCGGGAAATAAGATCATGCATTCCGCGAAGAGTCTGTAGGGACAAGTGGGTGAAATCGTCGGGAGCGTTCCGATGAGGGCATACCGTGTAGCTAATCACCACAACGGTCGTGTTCCCCTCCTTGGGGATCTTGGCCATTGCGTCTTTCCACATCCGCTGGGCCGTGGGCATCGCGATCACGCGCACTTGCTCGTTAAAGTGCGACTGGCAACTAGTAACCCACTGCTGTACCAAGCTGTTCGGTACGACGACCAGGGACGGCCCTATGGGCACAGATTGTTTGCCGTTGATGCTTAGATCTGTAGCGAGTCAGATGGATGCTCACGCATTCCGATTACCGCACTTACGACCCGCACGGAGACGCTTGGGCCAGGCCGAGAGTGTCGTCACGTCCGACGTGTCTGCATCCTGGACGGTCTCGGTCATCATTGCGGCTTGCTGCATGACGGCAATGAACCCGATCGCAGAGAGCGTCTTGCCCAAGCCCATGGAGTCGCACAGGAGGAAGCCGGGGATCTCGTTCCACTTGTCCTCCCGGGGACGGTCGAGGACGGACGATCTCAGTTTGCGACCACCCGTATCTGCGTCAGGCGCGGTGGTACTCGAATTCCGCGCCTCCGTCGGCGCCTCCGTTTTCTCTGGCGCCGGTTGTGCCAAGACCCGGCTGAATCCGGCCCACATGACCGCTTGATGCCAATGAGGCACGAGGACGGTGGTGATCCCGGGGATTTCGACATCGCCCGTGCCAAGCTGGTATTGGCGGGGGTCGCGCGCCCAGTGCTTTCGGAGAAAATAAGGCCAGCCGCCACAGTACGCGATCAACTGGTCCACATTCCAGTCCTGGAACTTCGCGTGGGCGCCGTTGTCAAATCCCGCCATCAGCGCAGCGGTGGCGTCCAGTTCACCAGAGAACAAAGTGGTCGCTGCGGCGTTGCTGTGGTCGACGGCGACTTCTTGGGAGGCGTCCCAGATCGAACCAGCAATCTCGTCGAACACAGCGGGGTCCAGGTTCCTGACCATTTCGGGGTCAACGCCCCAGGCGGTCGCGCCGGCCCTTCCGCGCAAGTCTGTCGATTGTCAGTAAACGTCGTGAGGGTTCCGATGCGCGGGGCTAGAGAGACAACAGAAAGGTCTTCACAGTAGCTCCGATGCGCGGGACCAGGCCCTGCAAAAGGAGAGGAAAGGGCCGAAAAGAAAAAAAGGTCTTCCATCCGGTAGTGTGTGGATGTCGGGAGGGTTCCGATGTACGGCGTCTGGTCACTCACATGCAAGGCGGGCCATCTCTTCGGCCGGTTCCAATGATTCGTGACCCTTGAACTCAGCCACTACGCTCAAGTATCCCAGCGTACGCCCCGCCACCTCCGTCTTCCAACCCCAAGCCGCTTTCGCGTTCTCATCGGACACCTTCTTTGTCTTGACTTCGGGCAGGAAACCCGCCAGGTGTTGGGCCAATTGCGCCTTCGTGGTGACGTCGATCTCGCGAAGTTTGAATCGATCCCTGTCTTCGACGGGGACCATTCCCATTCCTCTCAGGAACGCCACTGCGGCCTTTCCCGCACTGCTCAACTTCGCGGCCGCGATGTCCGCCCCCACCAAGACTTCACCCGCCGGCTTCTTAGGAAAGAACGCGAAGAAGTCATCCCAGCGTTCGTGCGCCTTCTTCAATGCTCGACTCGCTCGGGCCTTGAGCGCGTCGGTTTGACGGTCGAAGAGCATTGAAAACAAAAGCTCGGCGTTCCCCGACATCCAACTCGAGCTGATCGACGAGCGGTACAGGTCGATCAGGATGTCCTGCTTGACCCGGCCGTAGTGGTGTTGTCCGGGAGGAACCCTGGCGTTGGCCGCGTCTTGCATCTGAAACGCATCCGACATGAACAGTTCAAGAGGATCACCTACTTCCGATTTCTTCACCAGTTCCGTAAACTGCCAAGGTGTCAACAGGGGTTGCGTAGCATAGTCCATCACTCACCCGTGCCGAATGCGTCAAGTCCCAGTTTTCCTTCGACGCCTTGATCATCAGGCGTTCGAACTCCGGTGCTTGCGACCAGTCGAACCCTCGGGCGGTCTTGTGAACCCAAGTGATGATGTCCCGATCCACACCGATCAGCTCCGCACGCATGTTCGCGTGTTCCTCCGGCGTGAACTCCGAGCCCGCAGGAGGGTTCGTATCCCAAAGTGGATACACCCCCTTCTCCCTGAGCTCCAGGACAAATGCCGGCGTCGCCATCGATCCGTCCTCCTCTTCATAGTCGTCAAAAAGGGTACTGCACCGGAGCAGCAGTTGTCCCAGAGCCCCGTACATCGCAACGACGATCCCCATCTGTTTCTTGACCGTCGCAGGCGGGTCGAGCTTGGTCTTCTTGTTCGGCTCGGCCGACACGACTTCTGCTTTTCCTATCTCTTGTCAGTCGACGCTGTCCGATTCAACGTTCACTCACTTTTCCCGACTCTTGCAGCCGGCGCTGGCGTGGGGGCCGACGGAGTCGATGGGATGCTGGAAGACGGCAGTAGCTGCTGCGGCGTCGGCTGCGGTGTAGTTGGCCGCGCGTCCATTGGAGAGCCTGTTCCTCGTCCGGTACCGGTTGAGCGGGAGCTGGCGCGGGCGCTGGCGCTGGGGCTGCAGGAGCGGCAGCCGCCTTCTTTTTCGCTGCCAGGAATCAGTAGGGTCTCTACAGTCCGAAGCAGCTTACGCTTGGGTTTCGGTCGCATCGCCTTGGCGATCGGCGCTCGGCTTGACCCAGCCTCGTCCTGTCGCGCTGGGGCGGGTGGCCGCGTGTTCGCCGTGTCATCCCCTGAGCTCATTTGTCAGAGGCGCGATGTGCGAGGTACGTGCTTCTAACCCGATGTCGCAGTAAGATCTCCAAGGATCGGATCATCTGCGGCGGATGGCCCCGCCGCCTGCGTTTTGCCCTTGCCTTTACTCTTCTTCGCAGCGGCACTCACTGCTGCCGGGTCTCCGGTCGAAGGCCCAGCCTGGGCCTTGCCTTTGCCCTTGCCTCGCGCTTTGGGTGTAGGAGAGGGCGGTGGCTCAGACTCGCTTTCTTCCGCGGGGGCCTTTTGGGCCGCCTTGGCCGCGGCGCGGTCTTCCTTGCGTTTCTTTTTTTCAGTGGACGACAACTTTTTCGTCATGGGGGAACGTCGGGACACTTCCGATACTGGGGTGCGAGTGGTTAATTGTGGCTGTGCTCCGACAAATGGGGAAGGTGGTGGTCAAGAGCAAGAGCAGTTGGTCACGTCACAACCCATCAGCCCCGGCACGAGTCACTGATGATCGCACGTGATATCCCGCTTTCAGTCCTCCCCTGTCTGGCGTAATGGAATTGTCGGGATTGGGCTTAGTTGGTTTCAATTCCACCGCGTTTTCATGGTGCCGAAATTACATCCCGGTCATCCGTGTGCCGTTGTAAACGACTTGGCCTCACCGGGCGGCCGGGCCAAGGGTCGCCAGACTTTCTGCTGTTGTTCATCGGGACCTTTCCGATGCGTGGGTCTGGGTGTCTTCCCCATCTTGTGTTGACTTGCAACACCCCCAGGTCGGGGTCGCCAGATCGCCTGCTGTTGTTCATCGGGACCTTTCCGATGCGTGGGTCTGGGTGGCTTCCTACCTTGCGCTGACTTGCGCAACACCCCAGGTCAGGGGTCGCCAGGTCGCCTGCTGTTGTTCATCGGGACTTATCCGATGCGTGGGTCCGGGTAGTTACTTATCTCATCCAGACTTTACCATCTGGCTTTCTTGCTCTCCATTTCATGCTGCTTCAATGGGGCGGTGGACTCCCTGACGTTCATGGCGCTGTTCCATATCATCATCCCGCGGCAGGACCAGCTTTGTCAAAATACATTTCAGTCTGTTTCAAAACCCAGGGTGACTCCATCGGGGCTCTCCCAATGCGTAGCCTCTGTCGCCCTAGATGCATCCTCGCAGGCACGTGTGTCGGAACACTTCCGATGCGGGGCATGCACTCCCATCTTGTCACATGTCCTGCCAATCAATTGTTGTCACTCGTTTCCAGGTCAACTTCCTGTCTCTGATCACTCACGGTCAGTCACCGCTCGACGATCCAGGCCTGAAGCTGGTCCAAGCGTAACCCTAAACGGCCAGGGAGGCCTTGGGAAACCCTGCCCTGGGGTTAGGACTGGCCTAGGGAATCGACCCTAGAGCACCTCTAATAACCCTAGAGCAATGCTCCCCTTTTCGGTCTTTGTTGACGTGGTTCCTTCTCCACGAGCCATAAATACGTAGGAGTCCAAAATTAATTTATCCGCAGTTTTTTGATCCTTTTTACTCTGTAAATACTCTCTATTTAAAGCTATTTTCCTTTGTCGTTCTTTTTCCATATCAGCGACGAGGAAATCATGAATATTAGTACGTAGGGAGTCTGAGATCGTGTATGTATGAGGGGAATCGTTCATATCTTTAATCGAAACAAGTACAGAAAAACGTCCATAGTCCGGACGCTCCACCTCCTTGGCTAGAGGAGTGGAGCGCTTCAAAAACCCTTCTCGCGCAGCTTCTCGGCAATCTCCTTGAGGAACTCGTTGTCCTTATCCCCGTTCTCGATCTCTTCCAGCATTGTGGCCCGATTGAAGAACGTGCGCTTCTTCTTGGGCTCCGGACAATTCCGCGCGATGTGCCCAGGCTGCTGACAGTTGTAGCAGATGATATTGCGGCTGCGGGCATGGGTGCGATCGATTTCCATCGGGACCGGTTCGTTGGCAGCCGGTCGGGTCGGAGCAGGCATGGGCGCCGCTGGTGCTGCCTGAGGGCGGAGTTGGGGAGGAGGCCGTGGAGTCGAGTGCGTATAGGAGGCCTTACGCAGCTGATCGCGCAAGGCATTGGCCTCGATGTTGACACACCAGTTCTTGAAGGCACCATATGCCTTGGGCAGGGGAACGCCGGTGTTGTAGAGGCGGCTTGCAATTTCGCTGTTGAGTCCGCGCTCCAGGAACTCGATGAGGATGTTGTCCTGTTCCCCCTTCTTGTACTCGCCCTTGCTGTTGGTGGAAGTGACCACGTTGTACCCCGCGTCTGCAGCCAGCATTTCGAAGTCGGAGATGTAGTCCGCAAAGGACCGTCTGCCCTGGCGAAGGGCCATGAGTCGGGCGGCAGCGACTTGCTCTGCGTTGGAATCCCCAAAGGCCCTCTGAAGCTCCTCCAAGAAGCTTGTTGCGGTGACCCCCGCCTTTAGTCCTTGGAAGCCCTCGAAATTGTGCTGCTTCCAGTTCATCGCCCATCTTGAGGCGGCGCAGCTTGTGCCGCTCTCATTTCGGAGGTAGGACAGGACAAAGAGGATTTTTGTCTCGTCCAGCGAGAACTCCGACCGATAGGCACCGATGTAAGTGGTGCACGCGTCCACAAAGCCCAGGTACTTGGACTTGTCGCCATTGAAGTAGGGGGGATTGGCGGCGAGGGTGATGCGGTGATGTCCTGACATGGTAGGAGCAGGTGTGGTAGGTGGGGGCGAGGGTGGTTGTTCGGAGGGTAACTCGTCAAGGTCGGGGATCTCGTCTTCAGGAGGCGGGAGGGCGAGGTAGGGGTTGGAGGGCCCGGGTTGGTTCTGATGCGCCAGATCGGGCGACGATGGTAGGATGGGAGGAGGAGACGGACTCCCAGACGACGATGGGAATCGGAACAAAATGGTGGATTCGTGTGCTGTACAAGCACTCGAGGAGGGGTTCTTTTGCTAGCAAAAAGATCCCGGGCCTAGCTCTTCACGTGCCCAATGATCCCGAGGTGCGTTTTCCCGAAGGTCTCCACAGCACTCCTTGTAGCTACCGTAAGGCTTGGGTCGGGCTCAACGTTACCCGTGGCCTGGTGCTGTTTGCTCGATATGAACCCTTCACTGCGATCGCAGAGGGCGACTAGATGATTCGGTAAAAGGGTAAGTGGGGTGATAAGGATGAAGAGGATATAGCGGGCGTAGCGGTGCGGTGATGCAGGGTAGGAGGTAAGAGGTACGAGGGTATGAGGGGAGTCTTCGAATTATGTGACAATCAACCCAAAAACAAAGTCGAAAAGAGAAGTGAATTCGAAGACTGGAGAATACAACCAAGTAGCTACAGTATTTATACCCAAATCCAGTCTGAGTCATATCTACAACTAATGAGTCATAGGGCTATGTACCGCATGGAGCACTGGTCATGGGTTGTAGTGGAACCTTCCGGAGCATATGTCGCGCAGCCTTGAATCGGTAGAGATAACCCCTGGAACCCCTAGCCCGGACCGTCTGATGCCGTGATCCGTGATAAGATAGGTCGTGCCAAGATAAGATAAGATCGCCGATGATAAGATAAAAAGGAGTCGAGTTATGACATATTGTTCTTATTGTTCTAGGACTGCACTATTGTTGTGCGCATGTAATCTGAATGTGTAAGCAGGACCTGAAGAGCTTATAAGCGAAACAGGTGAGCCGGTGATTCTTCACCAGCCTGTTGTCCTGCAGCAGCTTCCCTCTTCTTGTGTGTTTCAGCTACTAAACCACCCTAACCCTAACACAATGCGCGTGAACTGAAAGAAACACGCACGATGTCTGCTGGAACGTCGAGAACACCGCCCGCAACACATGGGTCGCGCTGAGCTCCCACACATCTTTGAAGTCCAAAGTCGAGTGCGAGCCCTGATTCGCTGGTTCAGCCGATACACCGGTAGCCCGAAAGATGGATCCTCACGCGTCTGATCTAGGGGCACACCCAGCTGAACACGACCCAGCCCCACAGCAACGTGTAGTCCTCCGGCGAGACCGAGACCCCGATATTGACCTTGCCGACCCGCGTCGACGGGACGCCCACGGGCATGCGCAGGACCACGACAAGAAGCAGCGCCGCGACGAGCGTTGACGCTGACAACGCCCATGCGAGAGGAAAGGACCGGTGGACAGCGAGCATCGGGTGGTTCATCGAGATCTTGTGTGGGGGCGAGTCGACGCACCGCTCTACGTCTGCATCCGAAAGAACAGCGCGCGCTCAGGGCACCCTAGTCTGGAGTAAGCGCCTTGTCCTCTTCGTCATCGACACCGAAGCCAAGGGCATCTCCTGAGGCCACAGCCTTGGTTGTAGGGGCTGCTGCTGTGAATGACGTATTGAGCTTGACCGGCCCACCGCTATCCACCAACATTCCTGCCTTCCTTGCCTCCTCCTCGCCGCGTCGCAAACCATCCATTTGCTGCTGCAAGAACATCTCGCTCGCCTGCTCAAGCTCAGACTTCTCCCTTTCTTCGTCTGCTCGATCCGTGGCGTCGTCTCGTACCTTCTGTGCTAGGATGTGTGCTCAAGAATCCCGCCAGCGTGCGCGATCCGCATGGTATGGGTCCGATTGTTCGGTGTCAGAGTCATCGTCGTACGACGCCAGACGCTTCAACATGTCTGATTTGACTTGCGCGTGTGATGACTTGGTCGCACAATCCCGTGTAATTGCCCGTTCCACTGCAGCCAGCCGTTGTCGTTCTCGCGGTTCGTATCGACGGTCTTGCTGCGTGAGAAGTCAGCCGAAGTAAAAGCTGCAACAGCCCTAACGTACATCCCTGGATGATAGCTCCTCCTCTTTTCTCCTTGCTTCCTTTCTCCCAGCCTCCATTTGTTTGTCGGTCTGTGTAGGTGTACTAGCACTGCTTGCCCCTTTGACAAACTCCATGGGTTTGCCATACCCTTGGGCATCATCTCCGAACGCCCTGCTTCCGAGTCCGGGTCCGAGCCTCTCTGTCCAGTCTGCGCACCGCCGCCCGCGCCACCACCAGAGCCCGCGCCCCACTGATTCGGTGCAGCAGGTGCGGCTGAAGCCGCAATTTGGCTCCGCATCTGTATTTCCAGTTCCTTCATCTTTTCCCGCTCCTGCTTCGCCGCCCGCTCCCGAAACTACGCGATCTCGCTCACGACCAGCTCGCGCTGCGTCTCTGGCAGATCCGCCTCCTGCAGATTGTGCAAATGCAGCGGAATGACTTATTTCCCCTTCTCCCTGCCTAGCGCGGCCTGTGCCACCCGGGAGAGGTCGTCGAGCACAGCATCAATGAGTTGCTTCGCTGTCTGGGAGTTTGCGGTCGGTGCGCGCCGTGTCGACGCGTAGGTGTTCAAGAACGCGGTCGTTTTTCTTCGGATTCGATCTTTAGTGCGCATTTTGAGATGCAAGAGGGAAGGATGAGGAGGGAAATACTGGTAACTTCTTGTTTGCGCACCCTTCCTCGAGCGCCGGCAGCTCGATTCCATTGGGCAGTGCAAGCGCCAACAGCGCGCCATCCGCTGTCTCGAATTCCGCGAATCCAAATCCCCGCGGCTTTCCAGCTGGTGTGATGAGCCTCTTGAAGCTTGATATTGGCCCACACGCGGTCAAGAGTGCATTGAGTGTTGTGTCGGTGACGCCGCCTGAAATGGATCCTACGAAGAGTGTTGTCTGTTTCAGAGGCTGGCCACCCGGGTTTTGATTCTGAAGCGCGAGCGTAGATAAGGAGTGTACTTGTCCGCCAGAAGGAAGTGGTGGTCGAAGAAGTGCAGGTACTTCATCCCAGGTGTCGTCGGCGTGCTCTCGATCACCTCGTCAGCATAATCGCATCGATGAACCAGAACCCGCGGCACTGCCTCCCTCTCCTCCTCGCCCAGCTCCTCCCGAATGACGCGCTCCAGGTCCTCGACCGTCACACCACTCGGCTGCAGCACACGGATCGCGCCGTCCGGATGCAGCCCGTCGACGACAGTGCTCCCCACCCCCAGGCTGCCCGCCCCGCCGTCCAGGACGATCGCAACGCGCCCCTCGAGACCGCGCACGACGTGCTCCGTGCGTGTGGTACTTGGCTTCCCCGAAGAGTTCGCGATCAGCGCGGCGAGGGGAGGGCAATGAGCACGCGCGCGACGGGGTGCGAAGGCATGCGGACCGCCACCGTCTTCTGGCCCACTAACCCGGCGGATCGGTAAACGGATCTTCGACGCGGTGTAATCGAGGAGGACCGCGTGTCCCCATACGTTCGAAAAAGTGGCGACAGCGACAGAGGAGCGGCAGACGCTTCCTCCGCGTGCTCGGTTGTGCCGATAGGCGCAGAAAGCGAAGCGGTTGCACAATGGATTGGCTGGTTGCCTCTGAGATGCGCCGGGCATCTTCCCGGACGACGCAAATGGTCCTGTGAAGTGTGAGATGTGGGACAGCGGTGTATCTGTCGGACTGACTCCAAAGGTTTTTGCATTGGGATGTGTGTGCGCACACCGAGTACACGAGAAAACGCCCGCGTCGTTGCAATTGAAAATAAAGGTCTGCGCGTCGTCCGGGAACATGGCCCCGAGCTGAGTCTGATGAAATACGCGACCATCTTTTTTTGCAGTGGTCCCATCCAGAGAGAGATCAGCCTGATATAGCTCACAGTGAAACATTTCATGGAGGGGCATTGCGACGACGAGAGAGCTCAAGGACAGACGTGTGCGGCAGAATCCGGCCCAAGTTGTCCACTGTGAAGCCCAGGGCGGGCAGAACAGCGCCGACCGCGATAGAAGACGCATATAGCAGGCATGGATTCAAGAACTATTACGTAGACATGTAGCCTATGAGCGCCCTTGCGCGCATGAACGCACGCGTCGAGCGATAGTGGCGTGAGGGAGGTGTATGCGCGTCTGCCGTAGGCGTTGTGTTGGCTCGAGATCTGAGGGTTGGGTGAGCTGGCATGGTGGGTACTCACCTGTAGTCCCCTTCTTCGCCTGAACTCTCCCTCCACTCGCCCTAATCCCTCTGCCGCCCAAGACCAAGCCCTAGCTCCCCAGCCCATCCATCCCACACCCGTTCGTTGGTGGCCGCGGTGACCTGGTCGGATGTACGAGGCAGAGCGATGATGGTGCAGGGTGATGTGACGGGGTCACAAGAGGTGACGCGAGAGATGTTCGACGAGGTTATCTCGTCTCGTACTCTCCATAACGCAGTATATGTATTATTTTTAGTGAGCGATATGTATTATAAGATTCTATAAGAACTTCCTGCTGTCTTAGATGGCCCACAGACCACCTGCGTCCCCATATATTGAGCTGTTGGCTTCAACTGATGGCTGGGCGGAGAGATCGTGATATTCTGAAAGGGCCGTTGATGCTAAGACTGTAAAATTCGGAATCTAATATCCTCAAATATGCAGCTAATGTTACGTGCAAGAAAAATACGAATGTTGAGCGAAGTGACCTCTGCGTCTCCGTCCCATCAAACGCGCTGTGGGAATTGATCGTTTTGAGACCCTCCGCGGGATTGGATGTGAGACAATTGACCGGAAGTGGGACGCCGGCGTGCGCTTTCATTTTTGAGACCATTAGCTAAGATTTCACACTTTTTTCAAAATTTTCGGACGAGGAATGAGGCCGGCGTCTCGAAAAGATACTATGGGCGCAATTGGAGGTGCGATAGATACTAGGCGTACCCTGGGTCTGATGGGCCACGCCCTTGATGTAGAACCGATTTCCGTCCTCCGATTATAAGTAGCGCCCAGTTCTTGTGATCTTAGGGAGGGCTGATGCAAGCTGTAATGTTGCTGCAGCCACACATAAGAGGAAGCTGAGATTGAGTCTCATGGCAGGTATTCAGCACCAGCGGGTGCTTCCCGAAGGACTGCAACAGAGAACAAGGGCGGCAGGCGGGAGAGAGGAACCGATATACGGCTAATGCACGCCGTGGGCATGGTATCTGGACCACACACAGCTTGCCAAGCTCAAGATTGCATTCCTGGATGCAGGGTCACACGGGAGTCACACTCTCGGATCCGTCCAAACTCGGCCCCAGACCTTACAGACCCTTCATTCGGCAAGTCACTGGTGACCTGCAACACTCGGACCCACATCTTGGGAGAGCATGGGTCTGTGCCCAACCTAGTGCCATTCAACTCATGCAACTCAAGTTGTCTAGAGATATGACTCAAAGATATCACCGGAAGATTTCACCATTAGTATTCAAAGGATTTCAACGCGGAGAAATACAAACTAGAAACTTATTCGCATGGGTATGATTCAGAAATTTACATGGGTTCCAATTTTTTCCAGTGTAGTTGTCGACCAGGGATGTGCTGTTTGCAAAAACGGCCCGGAGGGGTCCGCGTGCTGAGCGCGCAGTGTCAATGCAGTGTTTGGCCACAGGCGATACCGTTTCTGACATTCAAGGTCACCAGCAGGCAGGAATGCCTGCATTCTTCAGCGCTGGAAACCGTGCAGGCAGCACGAGTCCGTACTCAGTGACGCCAGTCCCATTGTATTACTGATTATGCAAGCATGTGGAAATCGAGTCGTGACTGAGGAAGTGCCCACCTCCTTTGCAACAGCTATCCCCTTGCTTTTCCGCAATGAAGAACAGCCTGCCGAATGAACAGATGTATTATCCACCTGCGTTCGGGGAGCAGACCGCCTAGTCGCACTGGCCCGGGAGCATTTTCGAACATTCGTTTGGGTCAGTCGAAGGCCCGCTACACTATCTCCTCTCCACTCCCACGTATAAGTAATAAGCCCGAACTCCGCATAACCGTGAATCGAGTGATGCGCGGCGCATTTTCGGCAGCTACGCGCGTGGACCCTGGCCCTGGACCGGTAGATTGAAAATCCAAGGCCCAGGTTTGCCAGTTCTGAGAGAGCGGGAGGCCAAAATTCTGTTCGCTCGTCGTAGCCATGGATATTTATCTCGGTCATAAGTTTTCGAGATGATAGAGACGAGACCCGGAGCCTCAGAGAGCGTGAATGCAGCATGAATGATCGATCGCGTCATACGCCCGTAGTCTGTCAAGGCAGCACAGCCTCACCACCTCTTTTGCCGACACCGTGCTTCGAGTCGGGACCCTACATCCCACTTGTTCATGACCGCTCGGATCCTCGCCTAGATCCCATTCAGGTTTCATTCGCGACTCTCTCACTTTTTCCGTCGTCCACAGCTGCCGTGGACCCGCTTGGCAGCTTCATTGGGGCTGTCGTGCCATCTTGTTGGTACCTTTACTCGTACTCCCTCGTGCGTCACGCCCAGTCTCTCTCCTACCGCGTCCTTTGCTGAAGTCGCATTTGAAAGCGATACCTCGTTGTACGATACCCGTAATCCCACACGATGCCGCTTCTCGGTGGCCTTTTCGGACGGAATGGTGGCAGCAGCAAGTCCAAAAACGCCCCAGACGTAGCACAGCCAACAACGTACGCTGCTGGCGACTCGTGTTTTCTTATTCTCATCGAAGCCCAGTCATCCTCCGTCCACATCGCAAACTCCGTCAAGCTCTGGGTCCTCGCCGACCTCGCCGACGTTAGAATACGTCTCCTTCGCTTCCGACCGCCTGCCGTCCTCGCCCAATGGACGCAGCCTGGCGTATGCTGGCGAAGTACCAAAAGAGAAGCGGGGCATCTTTGGCAGGAAACGGAGCGGGAATCTAGCTGCAGCATCCGGGGATTTGGAAGCGCCACGCCCCAATTACCTTTCACACATCAGCACATCCTCCGACCTGTCACCGCAGGCTTCGTCTTCGTCTGTCCAATCCCTTCGTCCGCCTCAGGGCGTCTTCAACCAGTCAACCCGCAGCCTTCCCCATGAAACTGCGCGGCGTTACCCGTCGTTGTCACCGCTGGCGCCTACGATCAGTCCTACCAAGTCAGTAGCGTCCGGGCTGACTACACGCTCTACTGCCACCTCGAAGACGTCTAAGAGTGCTGGTGCCAAGTCCGGAAAGAAGTTTTCGTTTTGGGGCAGCCGAAAATCTTCACCTGAACTTCCTCCTTCACCCTCGCCACCAGACTTCAATCTTCAGTCTTTCCGCAATGCTCGAGACCCATCACCAGCGAGACCGACTGCTAGTGCTATCCAGCCTCTCACCGCTGGCAATCTCAGCTCCTTGGGCAGAGAATACGAAAACAGCGACTTGCCGCTCGTTCGGCCCAGACCGCCGAGAGAGCATCGAGGCAGCGATGCCTCCTCCTCGAGGATCAGTGTCTCGGCGTTTCGAGAGATGCAGGCCAAGAGAAGCGCAGCCGGTTCACCGGCACTCCCGGACAGTGCAGGAGGTCGAACGCCAAGCCCGGGGCCGGGAACTGTACGCCTATATGCCCTCGGTAATGCGAGCGGCAGTCGGTCACATCAGCCATTGCCGCAGCATCAGCTCCAACCCCGGGCCACTCCACCAACGGCAGCGCTAATTCAACCTGCTCCACAGAGGTTGCTAGGACATCAGCGCAGACCAGGGCAATGGGAATCTGATGACGATGAAGTCGAAGAGGAGGAGGAAGAGAGTGACGAGGGCGATGGAATGAAGACGGGAAATGGGTCTCATCTTGCGAGAAGGCAGAGGACTATCACCAAGAATACCGCGCGATCGGACTTGGGGCATGGTGGAGGTCTGCGGGCTGCATCCAGTTTGGGAGTCAATGGCTCAACGGCGTCTCCACCTTCCGTTGATATGCACGGTGAGTGGGTCGGGTCATTCATCTCTCATTTCTTGGACGCCCTGATGAGGTGGCACTGAGTGTCGTGATCTATGCCTGACATGATTGCCTCATGTTTCCCTTGTGCCATTTACTATCACCCTTACCCTCTACAACATGCCAAACTTACTTTTTGACATAGCCAAAAGACTGTCAATCGAAATCCCTGCAAGACAAGTCCGAGCACCTGCTTCCTCTACCCGTCCATCTCCATCGCCAGCACAGAAAGCACGACCCCTGCCCCAATCCGGATCCTCTTCCTCTTCGGACTCGGACGATGCTCCACTCGCGACTTTGGTCTTGCCTCGACGAGCAGGCAGTTCATTGTCCATTGGGTCCAATGGGTCTACGTCACACTTGCCTGCGTCGCCGTCGCCAAACACACGTGGCCCCTCACCTCTTTCGACGGCTGCTGTTCCCAGACCCCAGCACCAGTCTACTCTTTCAGTAGCCTCGGGTAGTGGAAGTAGCACGACAAGCCGAGCGCCAGTGGGCAAAGCGAAACCTCTCATCGATATCAACGAGCTAACTGCGGCGCGCCCAGTCCTCGCTTCACAAGCGAAGACCAATGATGGATTCACGGGGGGTGGAATGCTGGCCGGGAAGGAGAAACCATCGGCGTCTCCTAGTCCGGTTCTGACGACCCGTTCCCCGCCAGTGACGAATGAGACGGGATTGATGCGGTTTCCTTCTCCACCCGGTTCGCCTGTTAGAGAGAAGTCTCCGACGTTGGGGGTCAGGGAGACGACCATTTCTCGTCCCGTTGTTCGACGCGATATGTTGAGCGAGCGTTTGAAAGCGGCAGCAGTGACAACTTCTGATTCAGAGTCGTCGCGTCCGTCCGTTCCGAATCCCCCCACCTCGTTTTCGCCCGCTCGTAGAGCAATGCATCGACGGTCATCTAGCGATATCATCCTCCGGAATGTCGTGCCCGATGCGGATCTAAATCGGGATCTTGCTGCGTTGTTGGGCGGTGGTGTTGCGCTTGTTTCAAGGATGGGAGAAGAGGATGATCCCGAGCCACAGCCCGGGCCAGTGCCAGAACCGTTGGAAGGCGGGGAGATTCGCCCGATTCCAATCAAGCAGCGTTCGCCGGCCCCTGGATTCAGCGTCACGTCGCGGCCCCAGCCACTGGGTGGGATTTTGCCCAGGGCGAGTAGTGCATATGGTGATTTGGGTGGTGTCAGACCAAGAAGCACCTCGCTGGCGGCAACTAGTGCTACTTTGGCGCAGAATGCTGTCGACAGCGTGACAGATTCCAGTTCGGCCAATTCCCGATCTCGACAGCGCAGTAGCACGATGTTGCCCCTGGCCGGGACGAGTCCCAGTAGACCTACGCCGGCGACAGAGGTCTCCAGAACGACTCTGAACCTAGCTAATCCAGCGACTGAAAGCTCCGCCGATTCGAGCTCTTCGAAATCTGGGTCCCGCAAACGTAGTAGCACCATGCTTCCGTCGACTGGGTCAACCCCGAAATCTATCTCTGAGAGCTCTCTTCCAGCTAGCTCCCGGTCTCGCCAGGGGGAAATGATGCCCGATTCAGCCCGCCAACGGAGTGCCAGCAGCATGATACCATCGGCGGTGTCGTCCGCCTCTCTGAGCTCCAAGATGCCGTCCCCGACGTCGATTGGACCCCCCACGAGACCGTTCGTGCTTCCTCGAACGAGTCCAGCGAGTTCGACTGGAGGATCGAGTAGCTCGCCGGTGCCGCCGACGCCCAGAGACGGTAGTGAAGTCGGGAGTAGCGAGAAGAAGCCGAAAGAATGGAGCGGAGGAGCGAGCGGGCTCTTGACGAAGCGTGGATTGGCCAACCAGAAGCGAAGGAGTGTCAGTTTCGACTTCAACGAGGAGTTGACCAACAAGAAGGGCAAGGCAGTCGACGACGATGAAAAGAGGAGAGAGAGACGACGGAGTGAAGCGCGTGCTGCAATCGAGGTGCGTTTGCAATCATGCTTTCCCTCTGTTGTTTTGATGACGACTTGTAGCTCGGGAATGTGATCAATGGCCGGGGACCCGTTCTCCACGATGAAGATGAGGAGGAAGACCGACCAGTCATGCGTCCGGGTCAGCCACAGCCCATGATGGTCAACCCCATGATGATGCCGATGGGCTTTGGAACACCAAGCCCTGGGTGGCCCGGAATGCCGAGCCCCTCGCAGTTCATGATGCCCCCACCGGCGGATCCATCGTTCATGGCAGCCCACCAACAGGCGATGATGTACGCGAAGCAGGCTTACCAGATGGCAGTCGCCCAGCAGGCAATGGCCGTCGCCGCCGAAGAATGGGAGCGAGGATCGAGTGTAGGAGGCTTCAATGGCGGTGGAAGCATCTATGGCGGTGGTGGAGGGCCCGCGATGATGAATCCGTGGATGGGAATGTTCCCGTCTGCACCGCGGTCAATGTATGGCGGCGGCGGAGGTGCAAGAAGTGATTACGGGGGACCCACTAGCGGTGGCGGTTCTGGCTGGAACTCGTCCCGTAGTGTGTATGGGGAAACGTTTGGTCCTTCGACAGAGCGATACGCAAGGCCTGGCAACTCTCCTTCCCAAGCCAAGCCGGGTCGCGACTCGAGTTACTTCGGTGGACTGGTGCCGCCATCTTCAGCCAGCCGCCAGCCTCCGCGACAAAGGACTGCCAGTCAGCCAGCCACACCCTCAAAACCTTCCGGATCCGTTCCTCGGCGGGGAGGACAACCGCCTTCCAGCTGGAAACCTGGCATGTGAAAACTTTCCGTTCCAATCATTTATAGTATCTGGATTTTATCCCATATCTTCTCTCACTCAATGCATTTTCATAATCGTGTACTCTCATGTCCAAGTATCTGTCAACTGCACCTGTTTTCACGTTTGGCACGGACAGTACCAACTACCAATTGTTATCTTGTCATTGGCGAAACATTCACAGACTCTTGTCACGCGGAAGACTTCGCTTCGCTTCGGCAGTTTCTTCTGGACTGAAAACAGTTCCCACCATAATTTACAGCTTGATTGAACGGATTCCAGCAGCTTACAGATTATAGTGTAATTTAGCGTCACGCATTGAAGCATAAGGTCATACGGGCATTGGAAGTCGACTGCTTGATAACATATTCAGGCATTCAATACTTTCAATGAGCGGAAGATGTCACAGACAAGAAAGTATCGTGTGCGGGAGGAGATTGTGGTCGAGTTCTCTCTTCAGATGGGCTCGGACTGACCAATGGCCAGTCAATACTAGGTCAAGGCAAAGTCAGGGAAGCCTGCAAGGGTCGGGCAGAAAGCCGTTGATACACAGTGGTTGATCCGATCGATGATGTATCAACCCTACGATGAAGTGCCGCAACGACCCTAACTCTCACACTGTTCTTGAATCAAGTTGAATGCATATCTTAGCATAGAAAACCTGCTCTTTGCCTGCCTCATCTACTCTTCAATGAGAGTAACTCAGACGAAGGGAACTTCGCAACAGATTGATTGGTCGCCGAGGTGTTTGTGGATAATCTTTTTACAAGTTGTAGCAATGGTCACAATCGCTCCACAAGTTAACGTCTCGTGTTCCATCTCGTCTCTAGTTCAGCTCACCTGTCTCCAAAACGCTCTAGTCTGCGTCAGCGGATAAAGACTCGGCTGGAGATAATCGCGCCAAGGATTGAATAGCCGGGCTGGTGACCGGCGAGCATGACCTTCACGCGCCTACAGGTGACGAGACTTCGTTTATCTGCCTTGGACACCTGCGATAACGCTCGTTTATATAAGAGATGGGGGCGTTGGAGTGCATCTGCAGGTGAATTCCTCTCCCTCCGTCGGGCTTTGGCTCGCCGACTCATCAATCTCAACGCTCGGCTCTCTTCCGTCGGCCGGACTATCAATCTCATCTCCACACATTTTTCTTGTACGATTCGGACGCGGGTCGACATCGTTCATGCGCCGGAAGCACAATACGCCAGCCTCATCATCTTGTCGACCTCCCGTTTTCCTCTTGCTCGTGGGGCAATCCGGAGACGGGTTGTCCTCAACGCTCGGCTGCTTAGCCAACCATTTGAAGCGTCTTCCAGCCAACCACGATGCGCGCGAAGCGGACACCGCTGATGTCCGATCTCCACCCCGGCTAAAGGGCATGATGCGGGGTAGGTGTCTGGGGTACTGCTGGTTCTCGCAAGCAGCCGATCGGAATACCGCCGGTGGACGGGGACGGGGGACAGTCCGTAGGATGCGGACTGCGGGGGTGGCCAGGCGAGGCGCTCAGCGGGAATGGAGTAGAAGGCCAGGTGTGTGTCGAGACATGCCGACTCCGTTCCTCTTCCACGGATGTGCCCTCCGTTGGACGCGCATTCCTTCCTTCTTTCCGTCTCCACAGTTACTGCTACAGATTCCGCGCACAATACTATTTCCTGGCCGCCGCTATTCAGTCGTTATACGACAGGCTCGGCTGCATTCCGTCCTTGCGACGCATGGATATAGTCCGAGTGCCGGTTGCAGTGGATTTCTGCAGCGGCCTGCAAGGGTGATGATTGATATTCATACTCGCTGCAGTCTCTTTCGGGCCTGTTTTTCCCAGGTACGGCATCGTCTGATTGCATGCCGTAGTTGACATCAGGCAGTGAGTGATAGGATGAGGCAGTACTCGTCCCACAAGGCTCAAAGCGGAGATCGGCGGTATCGATTGCAGGGTGCACTACGATCGGGACGTTTCGCCGCGGGCCACATCCGAGTCTCTTCAAGCTGTGGACCGGCGTCGGCTAAAGTGCTCTTCGTCGCCCAGAGCAAGTGTGAGGTCTTGTGCCGACTTGTTTCAAGTTACTTCTTGACTTGAGCGAGCGTGTCGTCTCGCTAGCGGTATCTCCTTAAGGCCGCACTTGAGCCATCGCGCCGGTTCGACCACGATACCCATCTGTTCCCTCGCACAACGCGTGGGTGCCAACTCAACTCTCGGGGCCGGCGCATGCTCCATCTTTCTTTCTGGTGGCTCGGTCCGACAGTCCCATTCCTGGGCTTGATATCCCCCGCAGCGTTCTTCCGCGACGGTTCTGGCTGACGTTGGAAGCACAGATCGCTGTTTCCCCGCATCCCCCCATACTTCTGGCCAAGCTGATCTCTGCTGCCTCCCTTCTGCTTACTGTTTTCGGAAAGTTTGAAACAAATCCTATATTGCCCTACTTTCCACCTGGTGCCTTGCTCTAGATTCAAACAGCCACAGCGCGAGAAGAGACGTCTGCAGCTGTCGATCAGAGCCCGCCCCTATCCTCCCCTTACCCCGCGTTCTGCCCCACCGGCAACTCAGGTCCCGTGATGCACGGCAAAGATTGATCTCCGCACACGAATCGGCGTTTGTCCTGCTCTTTCCAAGTTTTTGGTCGGCCCCATGATCCCGAGATGGAAAACACGGTGCTCCAGCAGAAGAGACTCGGATTGGCAGCGTTCTAATCTGGGCGGACTCTTTGCGGTGAACGCAACTTTGTTCCCCGGACTCCCCGCACGTGTTAATATCTCGGAAATTGGGCCCGGTGTAATCAGATAATAACCCGCATTCTGACGGCGCTGTGCCGCGCCATGATAGTCCCGGGAGCCCCAACGACATGACGTTCCTCGCTCTCCAATTTTCTTTTTGATTTGTTCCCGATTATCGAGGCACGGAGATAAGCAGCAACGTATGCGAAATGTGGGGGCTGTCGAACGGCAAGTCAGCACGCTTCTGATCTTCGGCTGCCTGGAAGAAGATATGTTTCACCTGCGATGTGCAGATGGATAACTCTGGCTTCCATTGTATTTCGCTGGGATCAGGGACGGATTGTCGAATTTTGGAGTCCCATTGACGCATCCATCCGGTAGCCGAGAAGTTGTCGTCGAGCTTCTCGGACGCGCTGGGTGCCAAGACCTTCGCTGCTGATGTCTCGTCCGGAGTGCCAGAGTGGAACATATGTACAGACAGATAGACGCCGACCTAGGGCTCACCGCCCCACTTATCTCAGATAAATGGCGCATCTCTTGCTCTTCTAGTGCCTCCTTGAGCGTTGAACAATGCCACTGAGAACACGGAATAATAGTTGGCCAGAAGCGGGACATTCTGACAATGCAGCATGGTAGGCCGCCGAAAACCTAACGCTCATTGTCGGGTTGGAGAAGCTGGATGTCAAATCCATGTGCGACACGGGTGAAGCCGAAATCAGTGGGATTGATGGCAGGAAAATCCTTTACCATTGTGCTTTCTCCCCCCGCTGGATCAGTCCGCGGATTTCATATTCGTCGTTCCATGCGAGCCTCCTGTTTTCCATGATGTTCGCGACCGACCGTGTTTAGGAGGTCGACATTCGTAACCGTGTTTCTTCGCGACTGAGGGTCTCCGGTGTTCAAGTCATCGGCGAATCAGTGTCTAACTACGTGCCATGCAGAAAGGTTCTTCGACAGACCATCCGCAGAAAGGCGAGCAACCCGACGTTGATAATCTCATCACTCTCGGCCAAGCTCCGGCCCCCGAACACTGCTCGCGTCATCCCAATGGGGTTGTTTCTTTGCGTCTGCTTGTTGGTTCGGCTACACCTCTTCGAAACTGCGACCCGTTTGGTAAGCGGAAATGGATTCTGCGTGCGGGGTTGGTGGTATACATAACTCGACTCGATCGAGAATGCCTACACGACTAATCTTCTCCCGTCCCCCCCTCTTGGAACTCGTCCCTCTCCGCTGTCCCCTACGCATCGCTCACCGCGTCCAGCACTCACTCCTCCCTACCAGACACGATGGCGACAGCTTTCATGTACAAGCCTCAGCACCCTCACATCCCCGTCGTGCGACAGGAGGGATTCCATCTCCCGGGCGCTCACTCGAACCCCACGCCTCCACCTCACAACCACCACCACCATTCCTCTGACTCTGCAGCCCACCAATCTGGCGGCTTGGGTTTCGGGGGTGCGGCGTTCCATGGCCTCGAGGATGAACTTGCCAGTCTGATGCACCCACGGCGGGCGGCGGGCGATCGCAGCGCGCACAGTCCGGCAAACGGAGACGATCGACCTCCCAGTGGAGTCGGGTACCGCCCGCCGCCTCACACGCACAACATTTTCGACATTAGCGCGCCGCCGATGCATCACCACTCCCACCACGCAGGTTCTGCATCCAGCACCAGCTCAGCCTTTCCATCCCACTTCTCTCGCGGCAGCCACTCTCCTCCCTCGACGTTCACCGAGGGCCCGATCTCCCACCACTACAACTTCAACTCGACGCTGCCCGCGTTGAACAGCAGTATGCGCTATGATCCACATCCGCCGACGCCGACAGGCCACAACTTCGCGCCGAGTCCTTCTAGCTTCCGTTCGCCAAGCCCGAGAGACTCGCATTCGCGCAGCCGGAGCCGGAGCCGTCCTTTGACGACAGGGTCGAGTGGGCCTGGTCCTACACGTAACTCTCGGTCTCGACGTACCGGATCTTTCACGAGCGGAAGCCCTCCTCCGCACCACCGGCCTGTGCCGCATGCCATTGTCATTCCTGGTGCTGGTATGGTTCTCTCGCTCCTATTTCGAAACACATCCTGAATGATTAGCAGCAACTCCTCGGCCAGCTTCCTCGTCGTCGTACTCATGGTTCTCGGGCTCTGATTATCCGTCCCCGGCCGATTCGGCATCGCTGCCCTCGCTGACATCGCTGCCCTCCCTTCCGTCGTTAGCGTCATCACTACAATCGCCGCACTCTCCGTATCTGGCTGGTGCCCAGTTCAGCAGTCCCGTGGAGACCAAGTTTGGGATGAACCTGCATGGAATCAACAACATGAGCCTCGGGGTTGGGACCTCGGGCGGTCACCGAGAAGAACCGAAGGAAGAGTCGATGGGTGTGTGATTGTCCTTCTATTGAACGCTACCGGCATACTCATCATTCCGGCTAGAATCGAAAGCGGCCCAGATTGCCAACGAAAAGCGTCGCCGACGCCGCGAATCTCATAATGCCGTGGAACGCCGTCGACGCGACAATATCAATGAGCGAATCAGCGAGCTGGCGACTTTAATTCCCGAATGCATGCTGGAAATCAGTGCGTTGACCTGTTCGGGCTCCGCCTTCCGTCCTTCGCATTCTTACCGCATCTTCTGCTCTAGACACTAAAAAGCCAGGCGACGACGACTCGAAGGACGCGGATGCCAGCACCAAGTCAGGATCTGCATCTCCCGGCGGAAACAACCACGGCACCACGACAGGCAAAGATGGTGTTGTCAAAGCCAACAAGGGGATGATCCTGAGGAAGAGTGTCGACTACATACGGTGCGTTGTCCTGTTTCGACCTTGCTGTCCGGGCTTCTCATGCACTGTCAGATATCTGCAACAACTTGTCACAGCTCAAGGTGCTCGGAACCGCGAACTGGAGGAACAGCTCAAAGGTTTCCGCGGCGTTCCGCCGCACGGTTCCGATGGCAACAGCAGCGAGATGGTTCTCGGCGACTTTGGCAGCTCCTTTGACGTGAACATGAGCTGGCAAAACTCATTGACCAGCATGCCTGAAGGGGACGACGAGGATGCGGACAGTGATGGCCCAGACATGCAGATCGATGAGGACCGGGGTCGGAAGTCGACGAGAACAAATGGACGAAAGAAGAGTGGGGGTGCTCTGCCGGCCGACGACGACGACCTCAGCGGAGAAGTTTCGGAAACTGAAATGTAATGACCTTTCCTCTTGCTGTGTAGCAATACCCCATTAGACATTCAAAAGTAGCTACCCATTTGTATTGTTCGTCGTATGCTATGTGCTGTATGTTAGGAATACTTTAGGATACCAGATATTATCATCCTTGCTTTATCAATGTTACTTGACGTTGCCTGCTATTGCATTAACCGGTGCAGAATCATTGTTTTTTCGAGTGCGGTTGTCGCACTTGGCAACGGCGGCGCTGGGTAAGGTTTGCTTCCGTATATCAAGTAATGAATACTTGCTACTGTAAAAATTGCCGGCTGACAACGGCAGATTTCCTCTCCCATCGTGCGAAATACATCGAGTGAAGTTTACAACATCCGGATTCGAATTGTTACACAACATATCCAAGCCAACGAGAGACTTTTCGTCGTGCAAGGACGCTTCTGAGAACTTACAGAATTCAAAGCCCATTAGTGCCAAGACTTTCTCCTTTTGGCGACGAAGCGAGCCAGTGGAGCTCAGCGCATGCACTATCATGCATCGATAAATCGTAGTGCAGTCGAGGACGAGAGCGTCGTAGTCGAGAGCCCTATGTCTAGACAGTTTCTCAAGAGATGGATTAATAGGTCCGGTGGCTCACTGCGCCCGATATGTCGATGCGGAAAAACTTGAAAGAAGGGAAAGGAAGCTTTTGAGGCGTTCGGAAGATGCCTGTGGAGGCACGGCGGACTCTGTTACTGTCGGCCGCGTTGTGCTGTGTGGTAATCTGCATGGTCTCCTCGGACGACTCGAGCGTCCCGTCCTTCATGCCGAATCAAGCGTGTTGCGCTCAGGCAGGTAATACAAGATCTCGCTATCAATTCACCCACCAGAGAGACTTCAATTACGCTTGCCATTCTGTCTGTGTCGACAGGAGTACGAGAATCGGACCGGAGATGCAGGCGCTGGACAGACAAATTGGGAGACGCACACGCCAGGCGCGCCGGCAAAGACCAGGAGTGGCAGAAGCAGGTGACCGAGGTCCATCATTGTGTCTGCCGCCGAAGCAGAGAATTGGTCCATGGATGCTAGAAAGAATGTGTGATTGTCCCGATGGAGAAAGAGGTCCGAGCCGACAGGCTTCTCGGATCCTGATTTTCTTCCTGTGGGGTAACAAGGTTCAGAACCGTGCTGCTAGAAGTCCGAGCGCGAAGTCAACTCAGGAACGATGTCTGCCGCAAATCTCTCGGAGCTTCAAACACCAGCAATACCTCTGAGTGCTCTGCTTTCCAAGTGATGCTCGCCTGGACCTCATTTCGCACGCCCTTTTGTTTTTCAGCCGGTCGAACCCAGGACACTGAATGCACGGGAACTCCCGATGTTCAAGAACTTGCGGATATAGGTGATGTGGACGTGAGACCGCATACAGAATGCCGCTGAATGGCATCGCAATCTGCCCCGCCCGTCTTCTGTCCGGATGCAGAGTCTATGACGCGTTATTTCCTGGACTGCGCTTTGGACGGCCGAAAAAGCCCGAGGTAACACCTCAACATTGTTCAAGAGCCTAAACCTTGGTAAATCTCTTTACCCTGATCCGAGCCGTGTCCCATTCTCGAAACTGACAGTGTCCCATGACTGAAAAAAAGAGATCTTCCTTGTTTGCCGCCGGCCATAGACACCAAGGGTGCGCCACCCATCCAGACCAACGAAATAATCCATCTTACAAGAGACGTAAGCGGGGAAAATGCGGAGATCAACATGGTAACGTGGACAGACAAAGGGGAACCGGAGAAACAGAGCCATCAAGATAACAGTCATAGTTTGCATGTCACCTTCGCTTCCTGTCCTCAAAGTCCACCGCCACAATCAGAGCCTGTGGCTGGCCTGCTTGGAGAGCAACGTCCGCCACGATCCACCCCTTCTCCCGCATGCCATCCAGGAATGCCGGGAACGCGGCCGCCATGGTCTGATGTGCACTAATAATGAGCTTGTCGTCCGCGGGGTCCTTGCTAGTCATTCCAACCACTTCGACCGCATGCGCCCATGATCTAAGCTGGTCAAAGGGAGTATAGCCCTCTTTGAAACAGATGTGCAATGACACTCCTGCACCCCGTTCTGACCATAAGATGTAGCGTTCCTCCCCCATTCCATCCAACAAGGAGCGCGGGATGCTTGTCCCGCCGAGAACGGCATTGAGAGACGAGCCAAAGGTGCACTTCGTTCCTCGAATGTGATCGGGGCGCTGAAAGATGTGCTCGAGGGAGGATACTTCCTCGGGCGTGGGAGTGCGACCGTTGGCACGATACAGTTCCCAAGCGATTGTCATTCGCTGACGGTTGAGCGTCCTCAAAACGACACCGGACACCCCAGCGTAATTCAACGCGAGATGCAGTCCGACCAGCGTGAACAGGACGGTATACGTGAGAAATGCGCTGTTCAGATGCTGTACCACCACGCTTCCGACCTAAAACTTCCGTTCTAAATCAGAAATATCGAGAGGAAGGCACTCACCAGCATTCCAAGCAGCGCCAAAACTGTCTCCTTGCTGCTGTCTTTTGCATTCAGATCACCAACATCGCCAGACCCCGACGTTGGTGATGCAAAGTGGTTTGTAAGAGCAGCTTTGGAGCCACCGGCGCACAATCCACACATCGCGCGGAGAGATCCGCTTAGACAAAGCGTTGATACGCGTAATACACTGAGCTTCAGGAGAGGAGAGAGTGTATCGAGAACGATTGCGATATCATTCAACAGATCGGCGAGTAACCGGAATGTTTTCGCCTCCGATGTCAATGACGGGCCTATGAGGTATGCTCCACAGATTGCTGAATTCTTCTGTTGAGCGCTGGATAACAAAAAAAGGAAAAGATAGCAGCGTACTGGTCATTCGGCCAAAAAAGTCTTGAAGGACAGTGAGAAGAAGGGCATGGGTGGCGGATGCGGATGCGTTTCCAACGCCAAACCCTGCAAATGAAACATTGAACTAGAGGCTAAGATGATCATTATTTCGATGACATACCTTCGAGCACCGCGCGAGAAGATATCAATCCTGAAAGAGAGCTGCAAAATGCCTGTAGTGCATTGAAAATTTGATATCTTACGGTTTATGAGCGCGATTGATCAACATCAACTTGTGATCTACCTCGTGTAATCTGGAGATTTTCAGTATTCAAGGGTTATCTTATCTTCCTGGAATCACCTGAAGTAACGCTCTCAGGGTATCCTGCCGGCAAGAAGACCTGAGCGGAAAAATTGCCCAGAGAATGGGACATTTGTCGCCACCTGGAAACCTGCACAGGCTTAATGGCTCAAAGTGAAACGCGATGAAACTCACCTGGTATTTGCGTGGGGCATGAGATCCCAGTGCTCTTTCGGTAATAACAACCATCCCAAGGGTCAAGGCAGTGACAGGGTGGTGGATCAAGCAAGGATTACATCAGCCAGAAGTCGAGCGTGGAAAAGAAGTCTCATGAGCAGTCGCAGGACGGACAATGCGGCCCGGGACACATGCACACCTCATCATCAATCAATGATCAATGCGACCGACTCGTTCTCGTTGCTGGGCTAGTTGCGACTCGAGCGCGAGTCTGCACGCTCTCGAGACTGTTGCTAGGTAGGACTGGCTGAATTCATCAGGGTCCTATCGCAAGAGTTTGATCTGTGTCGTGGAGTTGCTCAAGCCGAATACTGACCACCTGAACGAATTGGTATTGTGTTCATTCCCGCGAGGATTATCTTGAATTCGACGTTGTTCCTCTCCACATTCAATTTCATCACTACTTATCCGATCTGAGAGGCTCCAGGCTCCAACGAGACCTGAGGCCAGCGAAGAATCGTGATGGGCAGACGATCATGATATGATTTGCACCACCTGCCAGTGGTCGTGAACGCCGAGAGTGCGGAGTGTTGTCCGCGAAACGCCGTCGATCCTTCTTCCTTTCTCCCCGCAACATTCATTCCTTTCTCATCCCCGCGAGTGTACCTGGAGTACTGAGGCTTTCTCACCGGAGTCTCTCGCGTCTCTTCTTCACCTTCGCTCCTTCGTTTCTTCACATCCGGAATGTCGACGACCCCTCCCGCCTGTCAGTAACTCACATGTCAGGCACCCGTCATACGAATCTGAGAACTGCGACTTCCAGCTGATGACGACGCCGGATCCCCGCAGCAGCGGCGGTCGCTCATCGGCTTGTTCCTTGCTTTCCAAATCATTGGCTTGATCGGCAGCATCGCGCTTGTGCTTACGACCACCCTCTCCCGACGCGCCTCACGTAGTGCAACGTGGCAGAACTTCTTTACATCGTGGATCGTCTCTGCAATCTCGTACTCGCTGCTTCTTTTTACGAGCCAGGCGTACAATGACACTCCACCGTTTGGAGTATGCTTGGCTCAGGCAGGATTGATCTACGTGCGTCCAGGCGATCTAATCAAACTATCGGTCTGCTGATATTCGAAGGCGATGCCCTCGTTCACGGCGGCCACCACCTTCGGCTTGATCACTCAAGTATGAATTTTCCACCTCCAAAGATGTTCTTCCAAATAAGAAACAACCCACAGATTTGGTTTACCATGCAAAGTCTCCTGAAAAGGAGAATTGCGTCCGAGAGATATTGGGTCATCGCAGTATGTTTGAAAGTGCTCGGGACAGCTGCTTTACTAAATTTTCTTGACTAGCTCATCATCATTCCCTATTGTTTTCTCGTCGCGATGGCCACTGCATCATGGGCTGTATGTCCTCGTGTTCTCGAAGAATCTAGACTGACTGATGAACCCGCAGACCGGATCTGCTGATCCAGCTTCCGTTGGCCTCATCGGAAGCGGAATGTACTGTCACATCGTAAGCTCCAGTGCCAGTCTTCAATAGAAACTCGTTCATATTTTTCCTACGAACAGGACGCCGCCTCAGGGAAACTGTCAGCAACTAATAAACTCATGAAACAAGCCGCTGATCCAACTGCAGAGGCAAAATTTCTGGCGCTCTTGTGGCATTGATACTACTTCCGACGGTGGCGATCGAAAGCTAGTCCCGCTCGCTCGACTGGTCTCGTCGAATCTAATATTCTTCATCCAGTCTCGATTTGTGTAGCGCTCCGACAACACTGGAAGACTTTTCGCCGAGTCCGCCACTCGTTTTCGATCATGATTCGGGTCATGGTGTTCACGCTTATCGGATTATTGGCAGTTTCGTGAGTGGTGATCATTCTCGATGTTTCACATTAGGAAGCGAACTTTGAAAGTATCGGGGCGCTTTTCGTCTTCAGCAGCAATCATGGACCAGCGATGAACATCGTTCTCGCAGCCAGTGTGTTCTCTTGTCACTCATTACACGAGCACTCCAGACCTGATTGTGTCCAGTGCCGTTCGTCTCCGCAGTCATCTTCGCGTCGCAGAGGGTGAGAATTTTATTATTTATCGGGCATCGCAGCTAACCGGGCGGATTCTGTAGGATATAATCTCGGTGTGGATGTTCTGGAGACCGTCGCCCAGCGACCAAACGCTCTCCGAAACTAGCACGAGCACCACAAATTCCACTGCTGCACTGGTCAAAGCTTAGGTGTCTTTCAACTCCACTTGGCTGAAACTGTGGATGATGTCCGGAACAAGGTGTACATAAGTCGTTATTTTGTATAGTCGATAAGTTTTTGTACATCTTATTTATGACCATTCAGAAGGGTCAGGTGGTCAGGGGGAGAGAGACGCCTTACATAAGCGTCTGATTACGGGGATGATCTAGTATGTGCGATACCTTACAGACATTCAGCTACGAACTCCGACGTTACGCTCTTCCCTGCTCATTGCCCGGAACCTTTGCTCCAAGGTTTCAAAACCACGAACACCAGTCTCTCCACACAGTTCACGGACAGTGCTTGCAATGTCATCAATGAGCTGTGTAGACATCAGAGTCGACACTCATAGGAGGAAGGACTGGAACGTACCGAAAGAATCCCACCCAGCGCAACAACAGCGGTCGAATGCGTTGGAAGTTGCTCATCCTGGCATCGAAGTCAGTATCAAGTATCTCTTGAAATCGAGAGCAGACCCACCATCAACACACCCAGGCTGAGTTCTGTGAACCCGATGCTGGCACCATCCACCTTGCCCGCGACCAGCTCCGACTCTTCAACATCCGCTTGTAGATTTCCTCGGTCCGGATGCATATATCTAACGAGCGCCTCGTGGTAGAGCAGCCGATCTCGAAGAAGGGGGAGAGATTCGGGGATCGGGTGTCCAGCGTCCAAGGCGTGGGACAGGATCTCGATCGTCGAAAACACGTCGGCGAGCTGCACAGCTCGTCAAGATTCGAAGGCAACAGCGAGTAGTACCAAACGTACTAGATTCGGATTGAGGAAAGGTGTCTTGGGTCAGATAGTCAGTGGCGGGGAAGGGAGAGGCAAGCACCGAAACGTACACGTTCGACAAGGATACGGCACCATTTCGTATCCAGCTTCGAGAACGCACCCGCGAGCAATGCTAGCGAGGTGCTTATCCTCAACCTATCAAACATAAGCAGAAGCGCTCAATAGAGGAAAGATGACGGACTGGTCAGAATGAAGCTGCTGGTATTGCTTATGGGGCCACAATCCTCTGTAGATTCACGTGAGACGGCGACCGGAAGCGGCAGACTGCATACTGGATCTGCGGTTCCCATTGTGCGGTGCTCAAAGAGGGCGTCAAACCCTGCAATCGTTCCTGGCATAGTCTTCAGTCACCGGACACTGTGAGACATGACCGAAACGCACAAAGACAGCCAATACTCGCCGCGCCACAGCCCTGACTCTTCTCTCCTTCGGCGACACCTTGTCCTCGTCGTCCTCATCCAATTGCTCGGCGAGATCGAAGACCTCCTTGTCATACACACCGTTCTGAGCACGGAGTTCTTCGGCAAGCACAGCCTCGACTTCTTGGCCGAGTATAGAGCCCATCTCACGCAACGTCGCAGCAAGCGTGCGGCGCACCAGAATCCGGCTCGAAGTTGGTCGGGGAAACATCATGGCCAAGCCCTATCGGGGTGTGAGTGGGAGGAAACAGAGGGAGACACGAAGGCACTCACTCCAGCTGTAAAGCCGATGATCACCAGCAGCGCTCTCTTCCAAGCGATGCCGACACCGATCCCCAGATTCGAGAGCACAGCCAGATGGCCATCAATCCACGAATACCCGACGACGAACACGATAGTCACACCCACCATCGTCCACATTAGACTGTGCTGAGGCGGGGCGGCGATACGAGCGAGCAGGAATGGCGACACGAATACGGCGGTGACAACGACTATAGCATACGGATTCCCGTTCTGCGTCCCGGGTGCGCCGATGTACCAGACCACCATGCCAATGACCAAACCGACGAGAGTTCCTACAAGACGTGTCGCAACGCCAAACAACTGGTCTCCGGCAAATGGCGCCAGGCTCATCTGCGCCATGATGAGCGCCCATAGCCCTTTTTGGTTGTAGTAGAACCATGCTGAGGACGGAACAACGGCAGGAATCCACAGAGCGAGTGAAATAAAAGCATGCCGGAGTGCAAAGATCCCCTCCGCAGTGCGTAGAAAACGAAGAGCGCCGACGATACGCAGACCGGCTTTACCAGCGAGCGTGGTGGGAGGCAGGGCATCCGGATTACGTGCTATGACGTGATGAGATATCGCAATAAACAGATCCAAACTCGGAGCTCACCTGCAGGTCTCGGCTCGACCTCGCCCTCTTCCCCAACAGTCTCACTTGCCCCTCCGTCGGAAGAGCCACTTCCTGCAGCAAACTCAGTGGGATCAGTAGCTGTTCCCATGGCCAACGGCGTCTGTGTGGCCTGTGCGCCGGCCGGGTCGCTCTGGTCGAACGCCATCCGCCACAACTTTCCGAATCCAGATGGCAGCCAGAACCTGGACCTTGTCCGCTTCCCGTCTAGATCTGTGACTCTCTCCAGTAAACGCAACAAACGCGTGGCGAACGCGTCCATTGCGTCGCAGAAGACGAAACAAACAAAAAGCGATCGGACGGTGAACATCTCCGGATCCTCCAGATTGCGGCCTATGTCATCCCGCAGCTTGCCCGTTTTCTCGTCAAAGAACCTTGCGAACGGCTTGACTAAGCGGACACGCTCGTGGGCTCTCCAATCGACCAGTGCAACCCGCAGCTCGTCCCGAGCCTTTACCAATTCTGCATGTTGCGCTTCAATGTCCTTCTGATCTCGGCGGAACAAGAGACTGGTCCAGCGACGTGTGTTGCAGCCAATGAACCATGATTTGACCGCCGCGACTCCCGAGGACGAGGCCAGCCGCAGGGATGAGGAAACTTCTGCCAAGATGGGGACGAGCGTGTCGAGTGTGTGGCCGTGTCTTTCCTCGCGATCCCTAATCATCCGCTTCCGCCGAGCCCATCCATGGATACCGGAAGCTCGGCTTTCTTCCTCCACTTTTTTGTCGTCCTCGTTGATCCTCAACACTGTGGTCTGAAACGCCAACAAGCCTCTGGCACTAGTCAGCAGGAACAGTGCAGACATGGCACAAATATGCTCACGAAGAACGCATGCCCAACCCTCGGATTTCTGGTGCGAGTTTCTTCAGATCTCCCGGCCCGAGCCTACCGAGGCTTATCTCTAGATCAAGCAATCCAACCTGGCTCATGATGCCTGTGATTCCAGCGATCAGGCCCGTTCGAGTGCCAACGGACTTTAATCGTCAGATTGAGAAGCGGGCGGTTGCAACAATATCGGTAAAATATCGTACCTTATTGGACAACTGGGCCCATTTTTTGTGATCGGACGGGTGTGCCTCGAGTGCTTCGGATTGGAGTTTCAATATTTGTTCAACGGGCTACGCAGTCCTTCAATTTAACACATCCAGAGACTAGGATTGAACGCACGCCAAAAAAGGCACGATCCAAAGATGTCCTATGCCGAAATTCAACAAACCACTTGGTACGTGATGCGTGATGGAACCTACAGCCACACATGGTTCAGACTCTCTGGAAAGATTAAGATCAAGGAGGCGATAGCGATGGCCATGTAGTACGCCGAGGGGATGAGAAACATTTTCGCAATCGTATATTGTGCTGTGGGCAGCACTAGCAATGGATGTTAGCATCTGGGCCGGGACGAGCGAGTGCGGACAAGCATACATGGGCCAAAAGTGCTCATGACATCCATCACAATTGTGCCAAAAATCGCCAGCAGTGTGAGCTTGGGCGCGCGAGCTCTCAATGCGCCCAGAAAGAACGTGCCGATGAAGAACATCGCGCCGTACACTGCAGACACGCGTGGATCGAGAAAATAGCCGTGGAATGCGAGAGCTTGGATTTGCGCAGCCTGTAAACATCGTTGAACGACTGATCGGACAGCCTAGCCGAGAATAATTACCTGTGCAGCAGGATTCGCGCTAGCAGCATTGCCGCCTGCCGACTGGAGCGCCCCGATACGGCTGGCGAGCAGCCCTTTGTCCTGCACCGACAATCCCGCTGCCATCGTCGCAACACCCCACGCCCAGCCGAGAAGCATCCCCAACCCCAGGGTCGTCCCCGCCAGGAGAAACAGGGACAAGGCGAGCGAGGGCGGGAGCAGTATCGAAAGAATGGCCGCAAAGAAGCCCGCCTGGCCCATCGACAGGAGTGTGCGCGAGTCTACAAGGAGTATGATAGTCGCTGTGGTGACGAGCAGGCATCGGGTGAGCGTTTTCAGCGTTCTTGGGGTGCGGATCGCCGTGGGGAACCAAGAGAACATGGGCTTCAAAGAGGAAGAGAGCGTAGAGGCCGCAGGCGAGTTCGCCTCCGGAGCGGATCTTGATTCTGGATGCGCACTCGTGGCTTTCCTGTTGTCTGAGCCATTTCGCGAAGAGTCTGCGGATTCGCTTTCTTTGGCCATGGCAGGCGCGGTGAGGGAAAGCGGTGGACTCTCTTAATGTGAGAATCGCTTGTGACGTCAAAGTCCGTGATTCGGCCCGTTTCCGACATTCGTCAGCGCTCTTAGCAAATGAAAGGCCGACCGGATGGACAAGCGGCGGCGCTAGAAACTCGGTAGATGCCATGAGACGCCAGACCAGATGGACACGGTATTGCAAAGCATCTGATCACCGGAAAACTCGAAAATAGTTGTGCATGAAGGCCGGCAGGTGGCAGGCAGTGTAGGGCTGGGTAAAATTAAGATTTTGGCTTGTAATTTACGTCTTTTTTGCAGGGGGTCTGTGATAAAATACAGAAGGCCTGTATTTTATGTAATTTACCGGCGCCGCCGGCCCGAAAATTTACGGCAATTTACTGTAATTTACGCCTGTAAAGTATGTAATTTTGGTACATTTACCACGCAAGGCCCTTGCGTGCCCATGACACATCTTCTGGCTTCCACGGCGCCTGTGGAACAGCAGCTGTTGTGGCTTTACCCCTGCTACTTCCTTGCTGAGCACCGGATGGACCGTCCTCACTAGGGAAAAGACGACCCAGCAATGCACCACATTCGAGGTTGATGCAGGTCTCAATAGACAGTCGAGTGAGATTTGTGGAACGGAGCTCTTGATGAGTATCCTCATCCATAGAAGCAAGAACCGTGCTGAAACAGGACAGGATTAAGATGAAAATTTCAATGGATACCGCCACATTGACTTAGATGGCATATCCTGATTTTAAATCAGAAATCATGTTTCCTTGGGCCTAGATGGGCCTTGAGCAAATTTTACAATAATTTACACCCAACCTGGGACCTTCCAGGTAAAATATGTAATTTACACTGTAATTTACCGTAATTTATGGGTGTGTAAATTACAGACCGCAACTTTACCCAGCCCTAAGGCAGTGCCACGCTCTGAAGCGAGTCCCGGAAATCAAATCGGATGGTTGACTGGTGATCGGCATTGAGTGTGCCGTTTTGCCGCCAACAACCTCGATCCCTGTCCTCGCGAACCCATGACTAGTCGTGAGCGATACTATTGATGCCAATGCTACGGGGAATGCACAACGCAACGGGGAATGGCTGATCTCTCCTTCCTTCCCTTGAATGTGCCGGTATCCTCCGGAATTTGTAGCTAGCGAAAACCCTTCAAATGCGAAATCCTGATGGACCAGTCTTCATTTTGTATACGGTTCCCGCTCATGTATAAATGCAGTATTTGGTACTTAAGGGTTTTCGAATGCTAGCTACAAATTCCGGAGGATATCGGGGCACATTCGAGGGAGGGAAGGAGAGATCAGCCATTTCCCGTTGCGTTGGCATCAATAGTATCGCTCTCAAGACTTCGAAATCCGCGGCCTCCGCGGTCTTCTCATGGATGATGATGGGAGGAGTGTCAAATCTTGGATTCCATCTGCGATGTCTCTCAGGTCGTCAAGCAACGTCCCCATGGACGGCAATCCCACATCCGACCCGCTCTCGCCGTTGGATGCAGGACCTTGCAACAGCAGCCCTATCACACAGTCTCGAATTCACCATTCAAAAAATCTCCACGCTGTAAATGCTGCGTTGGAAGCGAATGCATCTTCATTTTAAGCGGTCGCGTCTCGAGCACTTTCCGCTGGGCAAGTCCCCATCTCTCCTTCTTTTTTCTTTCTTCGATTCGAGCTTCCTTCTTTTTCCCTTCCCATCAAAATGTCCGGAGTTGATCTCCTGTGCGTAGGCCTCCAAATTGTTAAACTCCTGATGTAAAACTGACGCGACCTACGATCAGCTTTGGCCCGATGCTAGCTGGTCAGGCTCAGCTCTCTCAAAAATCAGACGCTGAAACTGTCTTGACCAGGGGTTTTACTGAACATGATCCTGTTCGGGGTTCGTCAGAATTTTTGAGATGGTACCCAGGTTCATTACTCAATATTCTCAGATTGTGCTCACACAAATGACCACATACTTCCGCCGTTATCCCAAGTATGCCGACATTTGCTTGCAACTAGCATCCCTGCTGACCGGTTATACTGCTTGTTGACAGTGATTCGCCATGGATTAGATACTTCGCAAGTCCCCCCTTCCGTATATCCTCGACTGTCAAATGACAGTTGGGCCACCAGATGATCTATCTCACCGTCGTGCAAATTGCCAATGTGTTCGTTGAGACGGGCATCATTTTTGATCCCCTGATCCTCAACTACGGTGCGTTTCTAGTTCGACTAGTCGCACTCTAGCCCTGACGCTCTCTCAGGCACTGCCCATGCCGTCGACGACATTCCGCGATGTGGGCCGCTATCCTCTACTTCCGAAATATGTTTGCTAATGGTGCATTCCTGTCAGTTCTTCCAGGAGGTAAGCTCTGTCACGATGCTTGTTAAAGTTGACGCACGTCTCATGTTCCCAGACGCTGTGATGATTGTGAGTTTTCTTTTCAGAACGTGAGTGGGACAGCATTCAAATGTACGCCTCCAGTCCGTTGTTTCGGCCCCGATCCAAATTTTCACCGCATGGCGGCTCAGCGTGGTCACGCAATCCTACCTACTCTCGATCTTCATCTCAATTCTGTCCCTCATCTCTTTCGGGTCGGGCATGCTTGTCACCGTGGTCGTTTCTATGAGACCCGCATTCTCGGATTTTACACACTTCACCGCTGAAATCAGTGTGTGGCTGATCAGTAGCGCGGTCTGCGACGTGGCCATCGCTGTCGCAATGACCTGGGCACTACTAAGCCGGAAAACGGGATCTGAGTTGGTTGATGGCCAGATAAATCGGATCGTTGGACGTATGTGGACTTCCTGCCCGATCTCATTTCAGCTGGAGATAGAATTAAAGAGGCTGCAGTCGCCATTGAAACGGGTACACTCACAGCATTCGCGGCGCTGGCTGACATGTCCTTGTTCTTGATCTTCCCTGTACGCGCTAAGTCCGCTGCCGGAACTTCACCTTCATAATTGATTGTATTCAAGAATACGACCATCAATTTCATCCTGGATTTCCCACTCTCAAACTTGTACACGCTTTCGGTACTCACGATGTAGGTCAAGAAATTGGATTCTTGAACTGCTATGCAAATTCAACGATCGCTGCCAGGTTGAACTCGCGCCCACAGAAACGGATCAATGATGTTGAGACAGGAGTCACCGCTGCCACAACAGCGACTGGACCCGGGAGAAATGCAACAGCACCGTTGAGGACAGCGAAAATTCCCAGCGCGGCATCTCTGACCCCCATTGTCAGCAATTCTGTGAGTTCAAAAGTATAGCTGCTGACCCGCCGGTGCTCATTCACACAACTATTAGTCCCAGAACGTCAGTGCGGACCAAAACTTCTCAGAATACCAGGTGGCTGAAATTCTTGCTTTTTCAAGTCCGTCGAGATCTACAAAACCACCGAAACGATTGTGAGAATGAACGACATTGACTCGGCTTCCCACAGAGCACGCGCGATACTCCCGGTGCACGACAGACCCCTAGCTCTCATCAGACCGCAAAGCACTCTGCGTATTGCAGGTTGAGCAGTCGGCCTCAAACGCGACCCATTTTCTACTTGTGCAAAATACAATTGTACAAGTAAAAATATCCGCCGTCTGATCTTGTCTCGTGGTCAGTGTTGTCACTCCTGATAGTAGCTTGGTCCGTCTCCCTGCGAGCAACACGAGCCTCTAGCCTTGGGCACTCGTACTTACTTCCGCCGATCGGCAGCACGGAATCTCGGCTATGTATAGTCAACGTCGGTTCGCGCGGCTGTTTTAAAGCCCCATCTTGCGACGACTGAACGTGTCTCTCGCGCTGTGGGCGCGGTAAACGTGTGAGAAACCAAAGCTCGTCTTTCTCTTCGCAGATAGCACAGCTAAGCTTCGTGCGTTGAATGCCAGGCAAGCACTATCTAGCCCAGGCTTCAACGCGTCGAATGGAATGACTCAGCACTGCGGGTTATGCGTGCGTGGGTTTCTTTCTGCCCGTTCCCCACGAAAAGCACGGTGGCATTATGTATATGGAGTGTGCATGTGAATGCCCAGACCCATCTGGACTCGGTTGTCGTTCGCTTGATTGGAAAAACACTAGGGTGAAAATGTTGAGGAGGCTTGTCTTCGCTGCCAGGCAGCACATGGATAAGGCAGTACTTTGAAGCCAATGACCCCATGCATGGACCTACTCTGGATGGCCAGCAAAATGAGAAGCCGCGCGAGCAGAGCAGAGATACGTCGTGACACATACCCCAGCCTCTGAAGGGACTGTAGTCCACAAAACACTCAGGGACACCACCTGATGGAGAAGCGAGGAGCACCCGTTCAAGAGCTGCGAAATCAGCTCTTCGGTCTGGCAGCGGAGGCCACCCGCGAAAGATCCCCATTTCTCGAGATCAGGAAGCCGGGTGAACGGGAAAAAGGGTGAACGGACCCTTGGAGTGGCCTTCTTTGGGTTTGGAATTACGCTTCTCGAGGGTGGGTACCAGGATACAAACCGCCGCGTGAGCGAAAACATGAGTAAAGATGCTAGGTATCCGAGCCAGCACGAGCCAGGCTAAATGCAACAGCAGGCGGAACACAGACGGGAACCGAGCGGCGGATACTATTTAGAACGTGTTTGTGTGTCATTGCTGGCTGCGTCATCATGGGACCTTTCCTTCAACGTTCTTCTGAACCACGCATCCGATGATCACCCAGAACATCTTATAACGAGGACTGCATTCACGCATAGTAGGACAGAATCACGCAGCCCCTCGACACGATGCCTCAATCTCTTCTCCAGGGACTCATCAACACGCCTAGTACGCCCAAGGCGGCTCGCAAACTGCAGGAGCTGCTGGTGCGGGACGCGCGAGAGCATCACTGCTATTTCGACGACCGCGGGTTCAAGAACCATACTGCGCACCAGTACGTTCCTCTGCCCTCGGCGAAATCGCGTACTCGCTGACTCGTGTATCGCGCCAGCTTGATTGCAGCCTACGATCTGGGTGCATCTGCCTCTCTGCTAGAGAGAATCTACAAGGAGGAGGGCGAGGTGCTGCGGCCCCTGGGACCGCAGTACGACATCCTCACGGACCAGACATGGACGACAAGGCTAGGCGAGCGACAGTAAGTGCGCTCAACGCATCCTAGTGGAATACGTCGCGCTGAGAAGTGAATGCTAGGGCGTATGCGAGCTATCTGCTCTTCTTTGAGCGGAAGATCCAGGCTCTCGGAATGCAGAAGACGATCGAGGAGTATGTTCTGTCGCCGGCAGCGAACGAGAACGGCGCGGCCATGCTGAGCCGGTTTTTCAGCGGCGCGTAAGTGGTTCCCGCGCAGATGCTTCACACCTCACTCACGGCTTTCTTAGCATACATCCGATTATCCACGTCGGGGTGAGTGAACTGCGCGATTGACGCTCGAAACTCCCCTGATGTCTGAACTTAGTTCGGTGTGGAGGTTGGCCAAGATAGCGTCGTTGCCCAAGGTGGGTCTATCCAATCGGCGACAACCGTGCTTCCACTCACACTAGCTAGGTCTCGCTCTCTGCGCTGTCGTCGATTCGGACTTTGTCTCGATCTTCTCCGGCCAGCCATCGGGCCTGACCGACATTTCCGCGGAGCCTGACAACGACGCGTCGCTTTTGTCGATCCTCGGTGAAGTCTATGATTCGCCTACGCTTGCTCCCCTTGCGCCATACAACCCAAGCGACTTCGTCGGGGCAGCTTTCAACAAACTGACGGAATCGCCCGCGCGCGGCGCCGAGCTCCGTCGACTGTACTCGAAGTGGACGCTCAACACAGCGCTGACCGGTTCCGCCTTCGATGCCGAATGTGCCAAGAAGGTGGACGAATGCTTCTGGCAGGCCACACTGCTCACTGCAGCCACGGGGTGCCCCGGGCGCGAGAACCGGATCGACTTCTTCCTTATGCACGCGCTTACGAGCGCCGTGGCACTGCCCAAGCTGCTGGCCGCGCTCCCGAACAAGATGCACAAGGCTCAGCTGCTCCAGGGCCACGCGCTCACATCGGCACTGTGGACCATCGCGCGCGGGCGTCCCCGAATCAACCCGGCGCTGCTGATGTCGTATCCCGACGTCGTCCCGGGGCACGCGGGGGGCGAGGCCAACCCTTGGCTGCCGGTCACGCTTAATGCGTTCGAGCACCCGGACTCACATGTGATCAAGACCATCCGCACGCTGTACTACGTGGCGCAGCGCCTTGGCCAGACGGCTGCCGGTGCGGTACCTGGTGCGGTGGATAGGGCTGGAAAAGAAACGCACGAGGGCATGAGCAGGCTAGACGGGTCAGCATTCGTCCGGGCGGCCATTATGACGAGCGAGACCCTCGGCTGGTTGGCGTTTGGAGGCGAACCTGGCAAGTGGGATCGCAGTTGTCTCGGATGGGACGTCGCGTGGGCTTGAGCGATGCAAGCGCCGTATAAAAGGTAGAGCTAGAACGTTACAATGCCTGTCCGTGCAGCCTCAATACATACCCGCAAGTAAGAGTGTCTGATCGGCTAGCTCGCAGCCTCGAGTGACCGATGTCTCCTTGCGCATCCATCCAAACGTAGGAAGACCTGTTTGACCATAAAGTTGGACATGCTCAGTCACTTCGACGAATTCCTAACCCTAGCAGTGATTGCACCCTTCGACCATCGGCGCACGTATCCTTTCTCGACTCCATATTTCCTTCGTTAGCACTTCGAACATGGCGGAAAGCCCACACCCGACCGGCGCACTGTTATCTCGCCTTGCGGAAGTAGAAGCGGAAATAGAGCTCGAGGTCTCGTGGCATAAGTCTCTCATGGATCGTCTGGAGATTGAGAAGATCGAAGTCCTCACGCGCATCAACGCTCTTCGCGACCCGCTTTCGCGCATTCCTCTAGAAATCACTTCGACTATCTTCGATATGTGTTTGCCCGAGGACTCAGATGAACTCGGAATACCTCCAGGATCCTTAGGCCTAGTGCTTTTACGCGTGTCTCGCGGCTGGGCGAAGTTCGCGCTCGCCACGAGCTCTCTGTGGACTGAGTTGGTCGTACGAAGGATAACGGACGGATTGGGGCATGGAATCTCTCGATGGATTGGATACGCGCGGCCGTCCTGCATCTCTAACGCTTGTCGTTTCGCACGGACTGCTCGGCACCGACGACGTGAACGTCCTGGCCAATCTCGTCGACCACCTCCGAGACCCTATTTCACAGTCGTCGTCCATCAACACTGTTCGTATTGGGGGACGCCTTCCCGGAAGTGTGATGAGAGATATCGTGCTCTCGCTGCGGGCAACGCTCGACTCTCTCACTTTGTTCTGTGCGGACAGCGAGCGGGAAATGGGGACTGTCTTTGAGCTTCTGCAATCTTGCGCATCACGGCTGAGGTCCCTTTGTCTTGTGGACGGTCAATGCGAAGAAACCGACCATCCTGCGATCAAATCACCATTGGTTTTCTCTTGCCTCTTCAAACTGGAGCTCCGTTCCCAGGCTCAGTGGCCCAATAGCATTCTGCTGAATCATATCGAGGCCCCTGCCCTCACGAAGCTGACTCTTGTTGAATTTGACCGTTCGCTTGATGATATCCGAGATTTCGTCCGGCGTTCAAACGCACCCATAACCTCACTGCGTGTCGTGCACGATAGGGATGATGAGGAGTGGAAGTGGAACCGGATTCTACCTCTGCTTCCACAACTGCAGGAACTCGACGTTAGCAAAGGCGACACAGTGGTGACGCGCCGGCTGATCGACATTCTCACTAATGAAGCTGATGTCGTTCCCGCCTTGCATACCTAGAGCATGTTTCAAATGCAGACTGTTTTTATGACCGTGAGTCAGTCTGTGGATCTCATCGACGCGAGGCAGGCGTCCCTTCGCTCAATCAAATTCGACTTTCCACTTGGAGCGACGGTTAACTGGGAGCTCGAAAGGGACGCGTTAGCTGCTTTGAAGAAATTTATCGAAAACGGGCTGCTGTCCTTGAGATCAGACCAGTGGCTGGGCTGAATGCATTCCATATTCGTTGTCACGAAAAACTTTGTAATGAAACTAGGACCTGCATTTCGCGTGCACGTGAGCGTCAATGTGATTAGAAACCCCCTTTTCAGAAGCCAGATACACGACACAACACCACCACCAGTGGTGTTGCTTCCCATCCCAAGTTCCTTGTCCTATTACCATGCCTGCCCCCGTAGCGGTTTACGTTGTCGCTGCGATTGGGACTGTGGCAGCTGCCATCGCCTTCAAAGAGGTATGCACGCGTCGTCTCCACTCCAAGCTCCGGACCTTCGCCGCCCTCGTCCGGCCACCCGTCAAGCTTATCTGACGCCGATCCCAGTACATCTACGAGCCACACATCGCACCCAAGGTCGAGCGATGGGCTGAAGAGTTTCTCGAGAAGCGGCGTGCGAAGAAGGCGGCTGCTGCGGCCCGCGTTGCAGTCCCGGTCTTCGTGCGCAGCGAAACTGAGACGGACAGTCTCATCAACGCGAGGGATAACGACGGAAAGAGCATGTACGAGCTCGAGAATCGCTCTGACGATGGGGTGCGGCAGTGGAGGAGTCAAGTGGGCTCTGCGCCCTCCGCAGGCTTGAGACATAGGAAGCCGAATGAGGTGCGCTCCCCTCTTATTTCGTAGCTTGTCCCTCATGTTCTATCTAGGCATCCAGTCTTCCTTCTAGAGACCCTACTCTGATGTACTCGCCCATGTCGCCGTCCGCCACACACGTTCTATTCGACCACAGTGATGCGCTGACGAACGACTCCTCCCCCGCTTCGACCTCGACTCTGAGCAGCCGCGTTGCCAGCCCCTTACCCCACCGCACGCTATCTCAGACCCCGCTCCGGGCCCCACCACCCCCCTTGATGCCTTTAACGCCGGAACCGTCTGTCCGCGGACTACCCCGGGGTAGCTCACTCCTCCCATCACCGGTGCAGACCCCGCAGCCTGTCTCTCCGCAGCACGTCGCCCCCTCTTTATCTGACTCTGCGCACACCAGCGCACACTCGCCGTACCAGGTGCCCAGCCTCTCCCTTTCGCACCCACTCGATCTCGACTCGGAGCATGATCTGGAGCTGCTGTCAGCCCCTGCGTCATCGCGTCCTGCCTCTCCCTTTTCTGAATTGTCCGTATCAGGAGAGGACTCCCAGTACCACTCCTTCCACTCTTTCGGCGCGACGATGACGTCGCCGCCAAACGAGACGGTGGACGACGATCTGGAGCGATGGAGCAGTGCAGGAAGTGAGGTGTCGGGTTCGAGCTGGGATAGTGTCGACCGAACCCGATGATATCTCGCATTGCTTTCAATCGTTATGTATCAGTCACTCTCATCTCTCGTGTCATATACGCGCAACCGCCTTTCTTTCCTGTCCATCAAGCCTGCCTACATCCTGCCTCTGTACATCTCCAACAAATATAATGTATATAATTCGTTCCTGAGCCACCTGAAAACTCTCCGCTCAAGAAAACGCTCAGGATTTGGCAGCTCTGAAGCGAGCGAGGCCATTCCATAAAGAGGCGAGATGCCTATTCGAAGACGGGTTGTTTCTGCCCCAATGGGTTGTATGACCGGACTCGAGAATAAACGACCACGATTAACAGATCCTCTCGGATTCGGATGCCTCCGAGAACTCGGCGTCGACAAGATGAACCCCGGGCATGAGTTTAGTAGTTGACGCGAGTGCAGTCGCTCGGGACCTTCCTTGATACTCGATACAAGTCCGGGGACGCGTCTTATGAAGGGAGCCATAACATGGCACGGCATAAAAACATGCCTAGAAAACGTGTCCTCCGCCGAGACAGCTAGCCTTGAGCTCTGACATTGAGAATCATGATCGTGCGGTGCAAAGTCACTTCGAAGGACGGCGGCACGCTGGTGGCAGGGACAATCCAGTGCATATCAATGAGCGTGGGACGCAGGTGCTCGTGCCAGTGATGGACCAAGAGTTGCCAGGAAGGATCGCAGATATAATGCTTACTGACAGAAAACGCTGACACACCGCTGGGACGTGCGCCGATCTGGAATCGGGTACAGCTAGCAAGACGAACTCGGATCTTGGCTTGTCTTTCCGAATCGGAGGCAGGCAGAGTAGCTTTGAGGTATGGAACGAGCGCATCTGTAGGCTCGCCGTCGGACAGGACGGCACAACAGAGCGAGATTCTTAGCGACACACGGCATGCCGCAAAAGCAGCCACAGCAAATGGAGTAAAAAGATTTCGTGAGATATTCCTGGCTGTATAGCACCGTGAGGATGAGCCGCCGTCTTCACGGAGCGTGAAAGTCGTTTTTGGCATGTCCGACGGTGAGACCGACAGCCGATAACGCTGAAAGCGAGCAAGGCGGGAGAAGGAAAGACGAATCTCAAGCATCATTGAAGCAGTTTCTTTGGCTTCTTCTATGAGCCCGGAATGGGGAAAGTCAGCCTTCAGGTAGTCTCCGGAAGGCTCCTGGAGGGACGGCCGAGAACTGTAAACGTGATCCTCGTTGTGACCATGACAATTACCAATCCTTCCGCCCGACAACGATCATATAGCGATTGATCATGACAGAAGGCATTCGGTATCGAAATCCGAACCTTGACCCAACCCTTCTCTTCCCCGGGTCATGGCGACAGTCTCTGTGGCCCGTTCAGAGGCCCGGCCAGCCTCCAGCTTTTTGAAATTTTGGAAGGTTCGTGCTCAAGCTTTCTGTTTATCCTGGCTCTACCCTCCTTTTATTATAGAAGACAGCGCAGACTCCCGTTCGTCAGTCCGGACCTATGCGGCAGTCGCCAGCGCTCGACGTGCCTAGCGAAATCTGGTTCGAGATCCTCGCGCACTTCGAATGCTACGAGCTGGGGGCTATCTCCCGCGTGTCGAAGCACCTCCGCGCCGTTTCCCTCACCGCGTACTTTAGGACACAGCAGTTCTTTCCTTTTCTCGATACCTTCGCGTTCCGCATGTCGTGTGCGAGCACCGAGCTGGCTGGTTACGTGGAGAGGACTACTGCTAGACTCGAGTTTCTTTCAGCTGAAGGAAACAAGGGCGCGGTCAAGGAGATCTATGTGTCTCCCTATCCACCGGGATATAATCGACGGCACAGAGGAGCGCATCGGCCCATAGAGCATGTTTTGGACCGAATCCTGCGTCTTCTGCCCGCTCTGCACAACTTGAATGTTCTGACGCTCCAATTCCCTGCCTGCGACGAGGCACTGAAGGAGGCCCTACGACTATTGCATCTTGAATCCCTAGAGCTAGAGATACCTCCCGGATCGCATGGGATGATTCCGGTCCCTGCGACGAAGAGCTTTGTCTTCAACCGCAATACCAGTCTGCTCATCATGTTTCCGCCGCACGGAACGTCTCTCGACTTCTTGTTTGCCTCTACGCTGGAAACCGTCGTTGCTGGGCCGACCGCGACATCAGTCGTGGTGGAGGCTCTTGCGGCCCACGGCGCGCCCTTCCCTAAACTCTCCGCCCTCGACGTGGCCCAGAGTGTCCTCCAATCCCCGCACTTTGGCCAAGTTCTGCTCGCCTGCCCGGCACTCTCGCTCTTACGGATTCGCACGTCGGCAGTGGACGTCAGTGCCAATCCCCTGTCGATGGAATCGACGCCCGCGGTGCCCCCCGATGCGGTCCCGCGTCTCAAGCTGTATCACGGTCCGCCGGCGCTGGGGGCTTCTCTCGCTCGCGGACGTTCCCTTCGGACTGTGCGATTGTGGTCTTCGCACGCCGTGGCGAGAGTGCGCGCTCCAACTGAGCTTCCTCCGATACTCCTCCAGATGGCCAACGACTCGGTTCACACCCTAGAGCTCGGTGTCTTGACATTTCCATTCTCGTTATTCGATACCATTCACGGCTCTTTTCCGTGCCTGAGGACGTTGGGAATCAACACCCATCTTGGCGCTTTCCATCCAGGAATTCGGCAGACTCAAGCTCTGGATCCCGGGGTAGTCGTCCGTGCGCAGTTGAGACTGCCTATCGGGATGGAGAGTTTACAGCTCGTCCGGATTGGTGTACAGCTGGCTGGAGAGGATCCGGAGGAGCTGATGACCAGCGCGGTCCAGACTATCGAGGCGTTCCCCGCCAATTACGACCCAACGTCTTGGAGAACGTGGGTCGTCGACCGTGTCTGGTATTGCGTCGAATGGGCCCGGGACCCGCAGTCCTTGCCGATTGCCGATGGCAGAGTGGAGGGGACTTTGAGGGTCGAATATGGAACGCACATTTTTCGAGGGTACACTCGCGGGGAACTAGTTTCCCCGTTCTCTGTAGACGAAGCGTTGAAGCGCATGATCTAAACTCACATAGAATCTGGATGGAATCCACCTACGCACTTAGACGTATCTTAATCGATAATCTTATGTAAGTCTCTGACATCTGCTGTGGGCGGCGCTTGAGGGATTTCAAAGCCACGGGCCATCGAAACTCGGGGTGCCCTCGGTGATCTGAGGTGACTGGCAAGGTCCCTATCAAAACAGGCGATCTCACCGCCCCAGCGACAAAGATCTACTTATCACTCGGGGAAAACATAGTACTTGGATGTATCTTGAGACTATTTTGAGCCGGCAAAGCCGCAGAGCACATTGCGGCATGTATTCTCATCTAGACAGTGTTCAAGCGCTAATACAGTCTCATTCTTGAGTGTGACTATATCAAACCTGCTGCCACTTATCCTCAAGGGGGATTTTCCCGTTTAGGGAGCAAGACTGATCACCTGAGCAGCTTGAAAAGGACATAACCCAGGGCCGACGTGCTTATCGTCTCGAGTGACCTTCTGCAAATGAGACTCGGACCTAAAAGTACAACAGACCGGAGATAACTTGGGTCCGAGTGACATGACACATTCCATTGATCACGTCTTCCTGCTCGTATAGGACTACACCGGGAGTGGAGATCTGCTCTGAGTCACCGCCCACTCACCGCTTGTCACCACTGCCTTCGAGATACGACCATTCCAACCATCTGTGTGGTTGGTATGTAAACCATCTACCCGTTCCTGTCGTCCATTGCATGATCATCCCTCGTTCCTGGCGGTCTGACCGGCGTTTGTTTTAGCACAGCCCGAAGACAGATATATACTCTGACGATCTTTGAAAGTCTCTTATTGCACCGCGCGCCCGATTACGGACCTCGCTACCACCAATCTCCGCTCAATATGCCTGCAAGCCCATGCACAGTTCTTCGTCGTGCCATACGCCGGCGCCGAGCCGGGTCTTCTTCCCAGGCTCCTGCAGCCGAAAGGCCGCCGCGGAAACGAGCGTTATTGGTCGCTGTCAGGGAAGAGAAGAAGCGCGAGTATGGGCTGCTCGAAGCCGCGCATGACGATGTGCGCAAAATGCGCGGACTGTTGATTGATGTGTACGTACGCGTCTTCTTGTCCAAGTTCTCCGCTCGACGAATCGGTGCAGATATCATTACGCTCCCGAAGATATAGTAGTGCTTGCCGACGATGGAAGACATGTGATGCCTACGAGGAAAAACATCGTACGTGTGCTTTCCTTCTACCATCCGTTTCTCGCGCGCTGATGAACGTAGCTGGACGCGATTGATGAGCTCGTTACCGATGTGAGGAGCGGGGACCATGTATGCTTCCATTGTGAGCGACTCCTGCTCAGAACCTTTGGGAGTTGTTCATCCTAACATAATCAGACTCTGGTCACTCAACTCAGCGGCCGAATCGATCCAATTCGGAAGAAGACGGTCTCGATGAGGTCATGGTCGCATGCGACTCGGAGGAGATTGTCGACGATGTGCGCATACACAGCTGCTGCTGAGTTCTATCACTGACCAGGCCTTCCCACTCAGGAACTCTACGACAGACTGATCGTGCCCCTCCCTGAGGGTTCTTTCCTGGTTGCTGTCCTCGACACTTGTCATTCCGGATCTCTTCTCGACTTGAAGCATCATCGATGCAATAGAGTGCCCGTCACCTGGACCGGGGTCGGCATGAGTAAACTGAACGCTGACGGGCCTTCCCCATCCCCGAAGCCAGTCTTAGCTGTACGGCGAGGAAATCGGCGCAACGCGCAACCCCCGGCTTTGGAAATCTCGACGGCAAACGTGACGGTGTTCCTCAACGACGGGGATGGAATGCTCGTCGCTAGTCCAGCTCCCCTTCCTATATGGTGCACTGGCTGGTGCCGACTGCAGGGCGCTCAGGATGAGGATCCCGAACTCGAGCAGCGGGGAGTCCGGGCAGATGTCATCTGCCTCTCCGCATGCAAGGATTCACAAGAGACGTGGGAATCCGAGGGCCACGAGAGTATGTCGTCGTTCCTCGTGGCCCTGCTCCGGGAGAAGCAAGACTACACCATCGCTCAGGTCGTCTCCGCAATGAGTGAAGCCATGTACAAGATGGCTCGCCAACGACAACAGCGCTGGGACAAGTTCCGCGAGGACGACAGGGCCTTCCGAACACAGGTGGATGCCTCGATTTCCGCGCTGCAGCACCCTCCGCTTCACCAGAAGCGTAGCGAAACGACGCCTCCCGTGTTTCCGCAGGAGAGGGCGTTCCTACAACCCAAGCAAAAGCACAAGCGACAGATCGCGTTTTCAGCCGTAATCAAGAAACTGCGCGAGCCATTTCCGAAGCAGCCACCCTCACACATTTCAAAGATCCGCCGGCGTTCAGTCTCATCTGATAACACTGCGGTGGATCCCTCTTTCAGGCCGAGAAGGTCATCGACGATCATGCAGGCAGCAAAATTAGCTAACTTTAAGAGCATGCGACGCTCTTTTTCAAAAAAACAGCCGGAAGTTCGGACTTTCGAGCCCCAAAATCCGGAGTTGTCGAGCTCGAAACCTGTTAATATGAATCGTCGCTGGGAGCTTTAACTTTTATTGGTAATTACACTATAATTATTGACTTGTCGATCCTGGGAATCTCTGTGTAGTACTGTATCCCAGCGTATGGGAGATCATAATAGCAGTTTATATTATAACGCAGTGCACTCTCGACTTCTGTAAGCGGAGAGTTTGCACGTGACTAACAGGACATGTGTGGGCAGACACATAGTGCAAGGCTCTGAGAGCACCCAGGCATGGAGATGGGGAGTCCAGCGCAATCATCCATCTCGCATCGGAGATCGCTGGCATATGTCAAATGGCGATCCCATATCACGTACAAGAAGAGCGGTAATCCGTCTCTCCAAAATGAGCTTCCGACGTTCCATTCTTGCACGGTGCAAAGGGAATTCGGCCGAAATGGGGCGTTTTGTTGAGCGAAGGAGTCGGTCGTGGGCACACAAGCGCTCACGTACCCGTCGAAGTCTGTACTTGAGCTCTTCCAGGCGAGCGGCCGATCCGGGGGGATCTAGTGAGGGCTCCGGAAGAGCAGGAGAGCCTCGTGCCATTCTTGTCGGACTGTGAAAAGAACGAGGTGCAGCGGAAAGACGAGAAGAACATGGAGATCTTCCGGCCTCCGATACTGACGCTATCGCCAGAGGAGATGGTGATAGTGCTCTTGAAAACAGTGGTCCGCTCCGGATGGGTGTACTTACTATAGAATTGGGAGGTGTAGGTGTGCTCGACCGCTCTCGAGTAGGTGGGACACCCGAAATCGAGGATTTAGGTGACGAAGCCGGGAGAATCAAGCGCATTTTGTAGATTCCCCCGCCGGGGATTCTCACCATCGTCTCGCCAGGGATCGGCGGTGATGATGGACGCATTATGTTGCCGATCGGGGTCAGGGCTTCCAAAGAGCAGGGACTGCCGACTGGAGTGAGCGTCCCATGGGATGATGTTGGTGTTCCAAACCAAACGCTCTCGTCGTAGGGACTACGACGAACAGGTGTCGTCGCGCGGAGTGCAAGCGCTGGAGACATCGGCCTTGGTTCCGTCATCTCGTCACGAACCGCAGGAGAAGGCGAAGGCGACTGGGGTCGTCTCCGGACTTTCCTGGTTTCTGGAGAGCTTCCTTGTGTGGTGGGTGAGGCAGACATCAATCCGAACTTTGAAAGCGGCTCATTCTCGATGCCCACAGCTGGTGCGAGAATCAGATGCATCGTTCTTCCGCGTTCGTCTTCCTGTCCGGAGTCATAGTCCGAATCCTCGTCATCGCGCAATGCTGAATGTGCCGGGCTAAGTTCCCGTCGCTTCCAGTGTGGGGCAGCGGCCGGGACAGCCTTAGCGGGGAGATCCAGTCCTAACCATCGGCGCACGATCCCGGCCTTCATCGCCAACCGCCCACTGTGAGCCCAGGATTCTGCCAGAGGCCCGGTATCAGCACCGCCAACCAAATTTGTAATGGCAGTGTCTATGCTATGATCTTGTTGTAAGCCGATAGTGAGACGGGAGCGAGCGTCGGCAGGTGCTGCTTCCGGAGAGATCGGATCTAGCACGCATTTGGAAAACATTCTCTTGATCGCAGGCAAGTCACAGCCTTTCAGCCCGGGGACCAAGGTGTTGGGAACAATGGCCCTGGGCCGGAAGAGTGATACAAAAGCTTGCAGTTCCGGAAGAGGCGAGTGACGTGCAAGGGGAACCAGCTGACGATAGGCATGAGATGGGTATGCAATGAATTTAAGCACTTACAAGCGAGAGCACCTCTTCTCCGCGTCCCAATTTCGCTCTCGTGACATGCAGGTACTCGGTCCACCTCTCTCTGCTCATCGTAACCGGATTGATATACACAAGCTTCTTTCCTGCGGCGCTCAGTTTGCTTCCTTGACGCTCCGCAACAACCTCGCATCGGTCAAACCTCTCGCAGGCATGAAATCTCGTCGACCACGGCTTGTCGGTCCCCATCGCACGAAGAGATGGATCAGCGGAGATGTGCCGGTACACGCTGTGTTTATATCTGTCAAGGTGGATCGGCTGCCGGAAAGCGCGCGCCACGGCCTTCAGAATGTCTTCGTAGCCCCACGTCCAAGAGTTGATGAAGAAGTGCGTCGCTGAGTCGTACATCTTCATCAACTCTACCAAACCATTCGTCGCATCGAGCTTGGTCGGCACCTTGCTCTCGCAGAACACGCTCGCGGTATCGAGGTAGATCGCCTCGAGTGTCTTCCCGCCGCCGACGAGGTAGGGTTGGAGGAGGGGATTGTGAGTAATGGCGTCGCAGAACCAGGGCTCGGCACGGAAGTCTCCCGTGTGCAAGACTGCACCGCGGTCGCCTTCAATCAAGAACCTCCCGAAAGCTTGAGACTACGACAGGATGGGGAAGAGAAGACATACATCACTGCACCTGGGCAATGATTCGCGTCGAAAAGCGTGATTGTGACAATGTCAGAATTGGAAAGCTCTATCTTAGTCGGAGTGTGTATAGGCAATGGTTTCTTTGTATCCATTTCAGTGGCTGTACGCGAAACCAGACAGCGAACCCACCAGAAGATCACGCGAGCCCGTGTACCACATCCTGCCGTCGAATCCCACGACGGGGTCCACCTTCAGATGCTTGTATGTCCTCTGCGTCTCCGCACGGAACTGATGCTCCTTCAACGATCGCTCGGCGTAAACTTCGTGCCGTAGAAGCATCTCCTTCGCATCAGCAGAGCATATGACGGCGTGTCCAAACGACTGAGCCTGTAGCCCTGTGATGTGGTCGGCGTGCGTGTGGGTGAGGAGGTGAAGAAGGGCTGAGGGGCTTGGTGTTGACGAAGCAGACAGATCGGTGAATTCATCGACACGGATCCGGTACGGCGGGATGAAGGAGTTAAAGGGCGCTCCAGGAGGCATGATTATGAGATTGAGAAGAATGGCAGCCAAAGTATCATTGAAGTTCTGCTCCCTGAGAACTGCATTGACGGAGTCAAGGAAAGGAGCGGCTGTACATTGCAATCAGGGGGCGCTTAACTCACGTGAATATCACGTGCAATATCTCCGCTGCTCCTGACTTGCTCATGACTTGCTTGTATCCGCTCTTTGGTGATTATCAGAAGCAGTCTGACACGTACAATACCGGCAGTGCCGATATACTATATATAAAACTACATAGAAGGAATCTCAGCGCGAGGAACGCTAGTTACACACATGGTTTACATAGCTAAAGATCCTGGGTTTGCGGAAATGGGACATGACTCGTGAGGAGAAAGCGATCCCCGAAATGATTGGTGGTTCGTAAAGTGGTTTTGACTTGCTTCATACACCAGCCGGCTCGGGGGCAGATCGGGTTGAGGACGTCGCTTCTCTCTTTCTCTCTAAATCCGCAGCCCAGAGAGCGGCACCAGCGGCGGTCGTCATCAAGAACACCATCGACAGGACCGGCACCAGCTGGAGCAGCAGCGCAACCATCCCAAACCACGTGTACTTCCATCGTTTCTCCCGGATCCATTCATCTCTCTGCATTCCGGTGAAGCCGCGCAACTTGAAGTAACGCCAGTGTTGGTAGGGCCCGGCACGGCGACCCAGAGCAAGGCAGTAGAGCGGTCCACCGATGATGGGGATGAAGGTAAGGGGGAGGAAAAGGATGAATTCGATCGTGAGTCGAAAGGAAAAGGGGGAGTACACAGCTGATTTGATAGGACGGCCGAGCTGTTTCACGGGATTGGGTGCATTGTGGATAATCGCTCGTCGCTGAGATACGAGAGTTGTGTAGCCTTTATGTATTAGCACCTGCATGAGATCAGAGATGCTGAACTGGCATCGGCCTGGAATTGAGACGTACTGCATCGAATATCGTCACCAAAGCTTCATCGACGAAAAAAGCCTCGAATAACAACGCGACTATGACAGCCCCTTCACCAAGAACAAGGAATACGGCGTTGAACCATGCGAGGCGACCTTGAAAGATAGCGAGGAATGCAACTTGAGGCAAGTACGTGAAGACGAAGAGAATGGGAAGGATGATGAGCGAGATGATGCATGCAGGAACGAATCTGGCACGGAAGAGGGGCCAGAGGTATGGGTGCCGGAGGCAGAAATAGAAGCCCTAAAAGGACAATCAGCCTGAGCACCATGATGTCGCCTGCAACGTTTTCGGGAGAAACGACGGCAATCGGTACATTAGGCACTCTGCCTCGACTTGATAAAAAGGCTTTTGAGATACGGCAGCGAGACGAGCGTCGTATGTATACGCCTATCGTTCGACTCTCGTCCATCTCCTCTGCACTTTGCTGGTAACATGTGAAAGCTTGCTTACTTTGAAGGGATAGAGATAAGCAGATGTGACGAAAATAACTTTCGGTCGGGATAGAAGTGCAGTCAGCTCATCCGCGCGGTGCTGTTGCTGCGATGTTGTCATAAGTTGGCGGTCGAGGGCTAGTCGCGGCGCAGGGCGATGCGACACACATGACAAGCGCATCAATGATGTGCGATTGATAGGATCAGCTCAGCCCCAATCTACTGAACTCTGTAAAAACGATGCAGATGAGACGAATTATGGGAACTAGCTGGCCATAATCTTACCTCTTTTAGAAACTTCAAATCCACATGCCCATTCTGATGCCGCACATGCATCACCAGATGGCTAACAATCTAAAGCTGACGTCCAGCGCGCGTTCGCACAGCACATCATAGCGTCCTTGCTTTCATCCTCGCTGGTCGACCATTACTTTCTCGCCCTTTCTCCTCTTCGATCACTGGTTGACTTCTCTCCATGGTCTGTAAACACGTCCTCGAATGGTGGCTGGTTCAAGAATTCGAATGTATGCATTAATGTGGTTGGATAGGCTTCAGAATCACTTTGGATCGGGGTATCAACTCTTTGGGTATGCCTCGGATCGCTTTGGTTCTTATTCTTGTCCCTGACATGATTTCAAGGTGTCAACATTCCTTTATGGTGGCGTGCTTTTCACACAGTACAGTGCTGTACCTTCCGAAGACTCAAGTTCCGATCAGGCGTCTACCTCATTCTTTTCGTCGGTTGCATGCGCGTGCTGATCAATCGCCCGAACGGACGCCTCTCAATGTTTGCTGTTCTCCCAACGACAGCTGTCATCATGTTCATGTTATCGACTGCGTCCGTTTTGATCTTTCTGCTGCAAGGCGCGTCAGCCTACGGTCATGCCGGTATTTCCCTGGATGACTTGCAAATTGCTGGGGCGGTGGTATATGTTACAAACAAGTTGCGTCTCTTCTCACATAGACTTAAATTGTGATCTTTCTCACAGGGACTTGAACACTGTAGCTTGGTGGCGGATGCGTTATTAGTCTATCGCTGCTATGTGATCTGGGGCACAATCTGGGTCACTGTCGTGCCTATCATCCTGCTGCTGGCCACGATGAGTCTGTTCAACTTCCCCGACGCCAAGAGCCAAATGTTGAAGATCACCAGTTCTCGGATATTCCATCCAACTTCGCTTGTTCTTCATTGTTTCGCTCAGCACTAACTTGCTTGTACCGACACTTATAGGTGACAATCCAGTGCCGTTCTTTGTTGGACGCTGAATGTTCTTTGCCCTGCATAGCGACCAGGCTGTGGTGGATTATCCGTCGAATCCGATCAGAAGCCGGAGAGGCAACGAAGCGCAGGGGTGTCAAAGCCATCATCATAATGTCTGTGCATCTTTTTCGATCTGATGTGAACTGACTGCTCAACGTTAGGCTTGAATCTGGGCTTATCTATTCGGTACTCGTTTCCATTCACATGGCCTATTTCCATTACGATAACCCGATCGACTCCGTGAGTTTCGCAGCGCAATTCCGTGTTTCGATAGACTAAGGATTGCGAGGTGATATATGCTGCTCTGGGTCAGATTGTGGTAAGCCTCTGATCATTCATTCCATATGATCTCAAATACACAGCTTTGTAGGGAATTGTGCCGACTCTTATCATCGTCCGTGTGCAACAAGGCGGAAGTCAAAATGGGTCCATGATGTCTTCTGCGTCCAATCCTATGGGCCCGAACCCTGATTTGCACCTCCAATCGGGGCCCGACTCGGATCTTCTACGCAGGATGGAATCAAATCGCACGCTACAGAACGATCGCACAGTCGTCGCGGATGTGACGGAAGAGAAAGGCTTCAGAATGGACTCAGAGACGTCCGGATGGGAGGCTGAGACCATAGTGTAACGTCGAGATGAGGACGGCAACCTGTAGACTGGCCAGATTTGATCAGAAAGAAGATTGGCTGAGGATGACGGCTTTCACAGACACATCAATTCGATGATAGTTGGCGGCTACCAAGGGGAATGAGTGAAAAGTCGGCAGTTTCCGAGGTCAAGATCGTCAGTAGAAATGTATCATTTCGCCTTGAGGGCGAGGCCCAAGAAAATCTGTACGTCGTCGGTGTAAGGTCTTTGGCTATGCACACAAAAGGAAATTCGGACAGACGATGCGTTCTTGTTCGTTGCGAGAAAACTGGATGAGAAAGAGACTGTAACATGTTTCGAGCCGTATTTTCTTCCGAGCACATTCGATAATTCTCCCATCGAGGAATCACTTTTTTTCTCATGCGACTCACTTCGAGCGCAAGTCTTTGCCCAAATTGGCGCGCTTGGACCATTGTGAAGATAGCACTTCATTCTATGATTACTGTCACTCACAGCATTCCGAGGTGTGATAGCCCCTCTTGGGGTCTAGTCGAGTGGACCCTGCTAGCCCACGAGCGGGGTACAATGGGTGTAGACACCGGAGAGGCTATCGGTGGCTATCAAGGTACGAGTGGGGGTCTATTCCAGTCGACTCTGATCCGACCTCACTCGGACACGTCTAGCCCCCATCTCTTCCCACGTCAACCCCAGATGCTCTCATCAGTCGCTTACCTGTTATGTAAATTGTTCGGGGTGCCCATCGGCCGGCGTTGTTCAGGGAAAGCACGGTCGACGAGAGCTTATGTTCCCACTGTCACCCACGGTTACGAGAAACGTGATGACACTGCCCAAATTGCATTTATATTTGAGGAATGGTGCGGAGAACGGAAGTAAGCTCTAATGAGAAAGAGCAGGCCATAGCAGCGTTCGATGAATAGGCACTAGTCACCGCCTGTTGGCTAGATGTGACCCATGAGTGGTGATGCACCTAGTCACGCGTAGTCCCCACAGGGTCTATTTGATTAGCACATAGCTCGTACTTTATCATCCCCACACGTGGGCTAGTGGTCTAGTCCCCAAGGGCCTAGATGTCTGGACCCGGCTCGGACACGGCTCGGACACGGCTCGGACGAAATCATCTCCGAAGAGGCTAGCCGACCCCGGAATGCTGTGACTGGAGAATCTTATCTGAAGCCATTCATTTGACTGTTCAAAATTGGTAAGGGCCAATCTTGGTAAAGCTGTGGCACGACGGGATTCATCACCCGAGACCCGTGCGGTCCCGTCTATAGTGCATGGGAGTCGGACAGTCGGCAAGTTCCCTGCCCAAGGATCACCGCTATAAACGGATCCCCAAGAGTTTCCCGTGGTCTACCAATCATCCGGCGCGACCGTCTCCGTGAAACAATCTCACCTCATTACCATTGGCATGTGGTAGCATGCGGGTACGATGGCTCGCAGTCCAAGCTCTCTCTTCACGTGCACGCTCATTCGATGCAGAGTCACATCACCTGACCGAGACAGTGACCGCTAGTGCCTGCTTTGCTCGACCGAAAACTTCGACGAACGCTCACTTTTATTCCCCACGTTGAATCGACCAGATGCTCCGTTGTGACTCGAAAGTTTTCAGGAACAGGAGGTCTTACTCTCCTCGTATCATTTCCGCATCGATCCGATTTAAGCTGAAACGGAGTCCGAATTGCCGTACGCTTGTGCCGAAACGCCCTCCTGACAAACGGTATGCGCTGGCCCGAACCCGTCCGTCTTTCAATGTAGGAGCGAGGTCATCGGGCGTTTTGCTCCCGAATGCGAGATTAGCAACAGCATCGACATGACGATAAAAAGGCGAGGCGGCTCACAGAGTACGGCGTGTCCTGTGTAATGTGCGGATTAGTCTCTGTCTTTTGCTCTGATCCTACGAACGAAATCGACTGCGGGCTTGCCCGAACGGCTGTCGAGGCTGAACTGAGAGATGCTCTAGACGTTCTCAAGCACCGGGGACCAGACTCGAGTGGGATTTGGGTCTCGCCGGATGCGCGAGTAGGTAATGGATGACGATTTGTCGGTCGAGTCTCCCTTTTCTCACGCATTCATTCAGGCCTGGGGCACGTCCGACTCTCTATCATCGACCTTGCCACGGGCCAGCAGCCTCTTGCGGATGAAGACAATACCATCCACTGCGTCGTCACCGGCGAAATCTATGACTATGAACGGATTCGCGGGGAGCTAGTGACCGAGGGATATCGTTTCAAGACGAAGAGCGACTCGGAGCTTGTGGTACAGTTGCAAGTAGCTCCCCTCCGCATAGGTCTTTCTCTCACATCAGTCCTCAGGTATAAGCGCTACGGAATGAATCTCCTATCCCATCTCCGCGGGGAGTTCGCTTTTGTGCTCTACGACTCGATCCGTCGCCTCCAAATCGTCGCCCGTGATCGTTTCGGTGTAAAGCCTCTCTATTATACGACTGTCAACGGGAGAACAATGTTTGCAAGCGAGATCAAAGCGTTCTTGGGCTTAGGATGGAAAGCCGAGTGGGACATTGACGCGATCGTCAACGCTGCCGAATTCGGCGACGAACGAACTGTGTTCAAAGGTGTTCACAAGGTGTGTGTGTTGTCGCCGGCGATTGCCACCAGCTCACATCCATTAGCTGGCTCCCGGTCAACAAGCGATATGTCGCGCTTCGGGAGCACTCGAGCTCCAATCCTATTGGGACCTCAAGTTCCCGCCTTCTTCAAACAGTTGCGCAGACAGCCTTGAGCACATGGTGGATACGGTCCGGAATACGATCGTTGAGTCTGTGCGCTTGCGCTTGCGCTCCGATGTCCCGCTTGCAGTATACTTGAGTGGCGGAATAGATAGTTCAGCCGTCGCTGGGATCGCCACTCATCTGCTCCGCCAACAAGATCGCCGTGCGCGCGTAACTGCATTCACTCTAGCATATACCGGTCAGCGCCTAAAAGCCTTGGGAGACCTGCACTGACAAAGACATGCAGAGGATCCATCGCGAGACGAGTCTCCGTTGGCGACGCACACCGCCGAGTACCTAAATGCAGATCTGCACACGGTCCAGGCAACCGAGACCGCGCTCGTTTCCGTCTTGGAAGATACCATTTGGCATTCAGAACAGCCCAACACGACTTTGCATGGCGCTGGTCGGCATCTCCTCGCCCGTGCTGTACGCGACGCCGGATTCAAGGTCGTTCTGTCGGGCGAGGGCTCCGACGAGATCTTTGGCGGATATCCGTTCTTGGTCAACGATTATCTGCTCGAAGAGGACCGTGCCGCTGCTGCTTTGGGAATCCCGCTTCCAGAGGCTGCTGACCGTCTTTTGCTATCGGGATCTACGACGGCACAAGGATCGCTGCTGAGAACCACGTCCCATCTTGCTACTCTCAAATTCCTAGCGACCGATCGGGAGATTTACACCACACAATCTCTGCAGCGTGCTGGGGGATCGGATCCGCTCAGGTGCATGGAGGAGGGCATACAACCTACGGCTAGGGACGACCGTCGTCAGCACAGCTTTCATACTTCCATGGTACTCGCACTCATTCTTCTCCTTGCTAGCATCTGACCTTGCATATAGTACACGATCTCCAAGACGCTCCTCAGTCGAATGATTCTGAATACGTCAGGCGACCGCGCTGACATGGCCTATGCTGTCGAGAGCCGTGTGCCATTCCTGGATCATTATCTCGTCGACTACGTCTCCCAAAACATCCCGCCGTCACTCAAGCTCCGTCCAATCTATGATTCAGAGCAAAGGAAATGGTCGTTATCTGAGAAGTGGATCCTGCGACAGGCCGTGCGGCCTTTCATCTCAGACGCAGTTTATCACAGACAGAAGATAGCGTTCAACCCCCCACTCGCGGCATCGGATAGTCCGCGGACGAGGCTTCTTCCTCTCCAAGCTCATCTGAGGGCACGTCTGACGGAAGCGGCCGTTCGACGCGTTGGGTTCTTCGACTGGGACTTTGTGCGCGAGCAACTGGATGGATACGTCGAGAGCGCAGGCGGGCTGGACACAAGGGCCAAGATCTGTCTCCATGTTTTGAGCTTCGTGGTTTTGCAAGAAAAGTTTAGTGTACCCACTTGGAGGTGAATATTTACTATTCTATAATCAATACTGTCTGGGAGGGCATATCTCCCCTATAGAACGCTCGTGTAGACAGGGTATCAGGTCATCAAGACGCGTAACGCAATTGGTCAGCTCATCGCGAGAGCTCAACGGAGCTCGAGGTCCCCGACCGTCCAAACTATCTGACACTAGCACATGGTGACAATCAGTCGCGAGTTGTCCCCGTCTCTGGACTGCTATGACAAGCCGCCTAGTTGAGGATGATATGCTTTATCTCAAGCTCACGGTGGGCATTAAGAATGTGGTCTTTTTTGATGTGATGGACTGTTTCATCGGGAGTGCGAGCAATGTGTATGAACTACGAGATCTGCTCGATGAGCTCTGATCCTGATTCCAAAGGTCGAAGAAGCAGTCAGCGTCGCCGAAGGGGCTCGTATTCCTGTTGTCGTATCCCCATCATCCTCCACCACTAAGAGACCCCTTGGCGTGAGGCTAGACCTGCATCCAAGCACGATCAAGTTCGATGGCGATGGACCTCGGGTCGGTCGAGTCGATTAGTCTGAGCTGGTCCAGGAGCTCGGCGGTTTCGTATTCCAAGAAAAAGCGAGCCGACTATGGGGATCACAATCACGCTCCCGCGAAAGACTCGGTCTTGGTACGATGCGTGGTCTCCGAGACTCTGCTCGGAGCCGTACCCGCCTCTCCCAGCCGTGGGCATGCATCGAGAACCGAGATTCGTCCCTGATGCCGCGCCATCTCAAGTTCGGCTGGGTGCTCAAGGCACAAGGGTTAAACGCGGTCGGACTGGAGTTTTCACAAGCCGAGGATCTAGAGTGTAGGTTGGAGATGTGTAGTCTCTTGGGTTCTGTGTTCAGATTTGCAAAGCCCGTCCCCGAGACTGCCGAATCTGAATAAATCAATATCATCGTGAGGCACCTCACCTCTTGCACAAGGCCTGAAGACATGTCCGGTGCAAGTCACTGTCCGTATAGGCTGTTAGTAGAGGCGATGATCTTCGAGCCGCAGAGGGCCCGGACGTTCTCTAACGCGCGAAGTTGAGCTGTGTTTCATGGCAACAGGATCCGGTTCCGTTTGTGCAAAGATGATGTTGGTCGCGAGCAAGCTGTGGAGCTCTGCAGGCGCATATGATATATATGCAATGAGCAAAGCAGAGCGTGAAGAGCCAGCTGGTGCTCTGGTGGGGGCCAGCGTTCCCGTCTTGAGCTATGCTGGCACTTGGGCTGATTTATCTGGTGTGAGCAGGCCCAGCCTCACGAGGCGTAAGGTGCATCAGAAATAAGGACTCAAACGCCAAGATAAGGCCAGACAAATTGACTACGGAATCATCGTCGGAATGACGTTACGTTGGCAAGCAGAGTCAAACACATTTTCTGTTGCCGCCCTCAATCCACTCCACTTCCGCTCTTTCTACCTCCCTACCGTTGCCCCGCCGTCTCGCGTCTCGAGTCTTGAATCTTTATATTGTTGGATACCTAGGATGTTTCGGTCTGATTCGTGCGTTGTCTAACTGTCCTTATTCGCTCGCGTCGCTGATTTTGACTGCGCTTCTCTGTTCTTTCCTTGCATTTCGGAACGTTGCGCCGGAATACTCTTGCTGCCTCTTACATCTGTGAACTCAAAACTCCGCTATACCTTGCCCCTGCTTTGGATTTGATCATCCACACTTGTGCCCACCCATACCTGTCGTTTCGGAAATGTCTACCGACGCCCTATTGCTATATAGCCCACGAGCTGTAGGCCGGCGCGACTCCTCTGGATCTCAGACGCCCTCCATGGCCGGCTCCACTCGGCACCTCATCCCCAATAAGACGAGCGGTTTCACATCCTCCCTCCAGCCACCCTCTGCGCCGTTCTTGTCCTCATCCTCTCCTTCCTCTCCGGGCAATTCCCGACCGTCCTCACCTGCAGGTAGCATGATCTCTCTTGCGCACAACTATCTCCCGACCAAGTTCTCCTCGCATCTGCTCACACGGCGGCGACCCAAAGGCTCGCAGCGGATCCCAGGTCTTGCACGCGGTGGGGGTGTCGACGCGTTCCGTGCCGGCGCATCGCGTATTCCGGGGGCGGGCGATGAAGACGACTACACGTCGTCTGCTTCCAAGTCGATGTTCTCCGGTGCTGGCCGAGGCGGGAAAAAAGTCCGTTGGACGCGCTTCAAAGTGATCCTGTTCATCGCCAACCTGATCCTTATCGTGTACTCGCTTGGGTCGCTGGTCACACTGTTACTGGTGTACTTCCACGTGTTCCGCGAGTCGGCGGTGCTCCTCATCGCAAACAAGACCGAGCTCGCTTTGAGCACCTTGGCTGCGGCGTTCTTGTTCTGTGTTTCATTACTCGGGCTACCGGGCATTTTGCTCAATAACCGGCCGTTTTTGGCAGTGTACACGTTTCTGCTCTGGGTCGGGTTTGGGCTGATGGTCGTGCCTGGATACATCACCTACAAACACCGGAATCTGAATCTCGAGGGAAAAGTCAATCAGCAGTGGAGTCGGGGCCTGAGCTCGGAAGGGCGATTGATCATCCAGGGCGCACTCCAGTGCTGTGGATATTTCAGCCCTTTCGTCGAGGCGACAGTGTCTGCTACATGCTATTCACGGTCCACCCTGCCTGGCTGCAAGAAGCCGTTTTTGGATTTCCAGCGCAGTGCACTGGAGCGTTTCTACGCCTTTTCGTTTGCATTTGTCCCCGTGCAGATTGGTGCGTCGTCCCGTAGCGATCGCTCGCCACTTGGTGCTGACCATGCACAGGTATCATTCTTTCCGCACTGTTGTGCAGCAACCACGTCACATACCGCTTTGGCAAGGGGATGATGCCCAAAGCATATCAGCTTAAGCAGGAAGACATCGCCATCATCGTCGACAAGTACGCTTCGTAAGTACTGGTGTACATCATTGGCTTCCCGGTATTCATTTGCGTCTGCAGACAACTGGCGGACCAGTACGGAGCCGAGGGCGCCGCACAGCTCATGGCAAATGCATCGATGGGTATTGGGTGAGCATCCCTACATCGACGCATTCCCACCGTACTGAATCCCGGAACAGGAAAGACCCGTTCGCATCACCTTCGGCCTCCGCCAACGCTTCTGCGACGGAGATCAACCTGCAGAACATGCCGACGATGTACCATGGGGACCGAGAACTAGGCTCCTCGCATGTGAAGTACGATTCGGTGGGCAGCAGGGCCCCAGACTCTGCCGACCCCTACGGCAGTTTGTGACTGGGCCAGCAGTTGCGCGTAATTCTATCTCGCACGACGAGTGCCAGTGGGTCGTCGGAGAGTGGCGCGGGGGACCGCAAGAAACGGTCGGGATGGTGGAGCCTCGGTTTGGTTTGAGGGCGCCCTGTCAACGTTTCTCTGGCAGATTGGGATTGACTTGCGCTTCTGTTTGGATTTCGTACTCTTGTTTTCGCTTCATTGTTGGCATCGCATCGCATCGCATCGCACGCAGCATATATACCGGCCGTCGTCCCATATACACACTCGCTCGCATTACATTGCATCCCGATCATCGAACTGCATCCTTATCTATGATACGCTTAATTCGTTTGAATACCCGGATGTATATTGTACTATACCATTTGGCGAATTACATCATTGATAGGACCGGTGAAGTGAGAATCGTTACTTGTCATTTTGGAACCCGACACCAACTCCTGTGTTGACAGCATGTTCTTCTGCGATTCTCCCCCTTTGCTTTGTCTGCCTCTCGGAAATGAAGATGTGAATATCGCTCATCGCGCATATATCAAGAATGCAGAGAGGATAGTAATGCCTAGTCTGCGTCGATTCCTCAGACTGAGCGACAAGTCACATAAAACCACACAGATGTACGAAGACCACGCCATAAGAAAGCTTAGATGCAAAAATATGACCGGGGATCGAGAATGAGGGCAGGAGAATCATAGACGGAGGAGAATCCGCTCATGAGGATTGTAAATTGCGAATCCTTGTGCAAGGGAGCGGAGAGTTTGCACGTGATCTTGATAACACGTAACGCTGCTTCAGTCTCTGCGCCAATCATCGACGACACGGTATGATGATGATTCGTCCACCGTCCGGAAATCGTTTCGAATGCCTCGCTTCCCTCTCTGCTCTATCTCCCATACACAGTTCTCTTCAGTGAGAGTTTATGATGCGGTGCTCGTGGAAGTAACTGGGATGTTTGCTGGCCCAAGGTTATAAGGCGAAGGCCGGGCCTATCGTGATCAGGGATATCTCAAAACTTGCTGTTTCTGCTTGTCAAGGCTGCCTACTCATGTGTTATTAGTCATCTGCAGCCAAAAGAAATGCCCTCCGTCGACGATGCCACGTCCCTTTCTGTCAAATCCAACTACATCCGAGTCCCCACTCGCTTACCCTCGACTTTTTGTGAATGAAACCATTCATTTTCTTTGGGTAACCAAGGGGCCCCTAATGAGATGGAGCAGAGAATGGAGCTGGAGCTCGCGAAGTCGCTGCTGAGCAGCTCCAAGACCAGACCATACTCCTCGGAAGCAAGCACTGGGATCTGGACGGTGCGTCATCCGCGCTCATCAGCTTACCGGGATCAATTCTCAGTATGCCTGCAGCTGGCGATGATCTCCGTTGCCCTGTGCGTGAGGTCTCCGCAAAAAGGTGGCTGGTCGAACATCCCAGGAAGATCCACGACCAATGTGTCTTGCGAACAGTTCCTCGTCAGGGCTTATCTCTACCCAGCTCGCACCTCGTTTCTCTCCCGAGTCTCTCGTTCTATTTCCCGGCTGTGATTAGTGTAGACCGCAGTCTCAACCTGTGTCATCTTCCGCACAGACACGCCAAGTATGCCAGGCATAGAGCTCTTCCGTATCGCTCAAATGTTGACTACGCTTTCACAGGTCCATGCATTTATTGTGACCTCGTTCTACTCTTACAAACTTCGCGCCAAATCGTCCTATTACAGAATGGAAGAAAAAGTCGTGTTTCACTGCGTCGTCGTCCTCCGCTTTTTTGATCGTCTAAAAGACTGCCGGTTTCTCCGACCGCCGTGGCATTGGTCTGATTGGACGCATGGCCCTGCTGCTGCTTTGATGCTTGCTCCCGTTTTCTTTGCTGCCCGCTGGCATCATCATCTCCTCGACTATCATCTGGTTCTCCCGCTGGACCTTGTCGGCATGGGCGACCTCGTTCGTGATGGTACGCAACGCCTGTGTTTCAGTCATCATTGTGGTCGACGCAATCATCTTCTGGCTCCAAGTTTTCTCTGCGATCGCCAGCTGGGCGATTCGCTTGTCCGATGCATGGCGCTGGCGGCATTCCTGAACGCCAAACTCGGGTTCCAGAGAGAGGTAGATGCGGCTCCTGGAGTTGGGCAAGCACGTCAGCTCGTCTTCGAGAACGCACAAACAAGGGCAGCGCACCAAGCATCTCTGAAAGCTCCCTCGGACCCATCCAACTCATCTAGTACGGGCATCCACTTCAGGACCTTGACGACGAAGTGACTTACGCTCGTCAAATCGCTCCATCCTGCGGTATGGAGGTGCGCTTGGGCCGCTGCGTGAATGAGGGCCAGACCGTCGACCAAGTCGAAGGACAAAGCCCGCGCGATTGGGCTCATGGAGGTCTTGGGAGGAGCGAGGCAGCTGTAGGGCAGTGTCAAGCGCATTCCAATCCACGATGAGCAAGGCGTTACGCACCTCCAGTCCCATCCATTTCCCTTGCGTTCTACGTTGCGCGGTTGGCTCAGGGCCTTGCGTCGATCGTGCATTGCCGTGCGCATCTTCAGCCTGGGAACGACGCATCAGACCACCTCGACACACTGGGACCCAACGACAACAACACTTACATGCTCTCGTGTAGGACGGTCTGCACTACCTTATCAGCCGTTCCGTCCGCCATTGTTGGCAGATGTGCAATAACGTCCGCGACGAAGTCGACCATCGCCCCCACTCCCGGATTCGCGCGCAGGAACGCTTGCGCGAGGAACGTCGCAGCCCACATCATCTGCAGCAATGTCTGGCTGGCTGCGATCTGAGGATGCATGGTCGGAAGAATGAGAGTCTGTGAAGCTACGTTTGTCGCATTGATACCCACTCGGGTCAACGGCACGTGTGAACAATGCACAACCTTTGCAGCTCCCAGTCGTGCACAGCTTGTGCTTGGTCTGGAGCGTGGATATATCGCTTCGATTCCATCGTCTTGAACTACCGGATGAATCTATATTTCGTCGGCAATGCGATCCCTAGTGCTACAGCACACAAATAAACATATACGGACATTTCCGCCAACTGCATTCCATCTCTCTTTTGGCGGTAGTGGCCCACACGAGGGCTCAAAAGCTCGCTGCCTCGCTCCATGTTCGTGAGTGAACGATCGAGGTGGTTACGAACCTTTTGTCCCAATTTGCACCCTGATCGTGTTTTATTTCGATACTCTCCTCTCCCCACTCGTATTTCTCACAATAGAAACAGATATACCTCTTACGAACCTATGTATATCCCTCACCCCCGGACAGCGATGCATCGGAAAGAGCTAAAATTCTACAGATTGTGTCGGATAATCTGATAGATTTTTCATCAGGACATTCACTCATGCTGTTCGGCATAACCATCTTCGCGAGCGATGGAGCCTGACCAGACGGCTCAGTCCGAGACCTGACATGACGACAATTTGAAAGGCCCTCTCGAGCCTGAGCATAAGGATACAATGAAGAGCGGTACAGTAAACTAAGTAACAGACAGTATGCGGGTGATTGCAGAGTAAAGTGCACGACGAGGACGAGCGATAGCAATACGAAATCCGTCCAGAGTCCATGATATGATGCGAAGAGACACAAGCAGGACGGTACGAAGTAGTGAGAGCAATGAAGCAGAAGAACGTCCACTAGGCAGACATGAGCCGACCTCAAGGAACAGAGCAGCAGAACACGACTCACCTCAAGCCTCGCTGCTGGCCAGGGCACTGGCGTCATCCGAATCGGGAATAGCTTTGGCATTGGCTTTGGGCTTGCGGGCTTTCTTCGGCTGGCCGCGTTTCGGATTCTCCGGCGAGTCAGCCCAGAGAGTGGCGGCCTAGAGGGAGGACATGGCGTCGTAAGTAAGATGAATGTATGCGCGTAGAAAAGAAGATCGCAGGTCGATTGCGAAGTGTGAGACATACCGCAGCGAACCTCTGCCTCGTCGTCATACTCGGGTCTTCTTCCTTCATGCGCGCCGACTCGCGTTGAACGAAGAGGTTGTATGCGCTTAGCGGCTTCTTCTCTTTCTTCTGCTTTTCCTGCGGCGCTGCCTTGCCCTTCTGCTCTTTGAGTGCAGGCTTGGAGGATGATGTATCGGTCTTCACAGAAGATGAAGACGCGGCAGCGGCGACAGAGTCTTTCTTGACTTTCTTGTCTGCGAAGATGTCAATTCGCGGCCCAACGATGCGAGACGAAAGACGCGTCGAAATAGAAGAGGCGCGTAGGGTGCACATCTTCCGTGGCCAGAAAAGCGAAGGGAGTCCCAGAGACACGTGAAGAGGAGAAGAGACGCGTCGATGACAAGGGCCTCTGAGCGCTTAGCGACGCGAAAACACCAACCTGCGGCAGCGGAAGCCTTGTTCTCCTTCTTCGCGGCGCCCTTCGTCGACGCCTTGGATGCAGCTGCGGGGGTGGCTTTGGCTGCACAATCTGTCAGCATAGAATGGATATTATGGTGCGCGGTATGAACGTACGCGAGAGCTTGGTCTTGACCATCTTACAGCAGGGGCGAATGAGTGACTGAAGAGGGAGAGAGAAGGTGGATGAGAGAAAGAGCGATACGGGTCTGCATGTATGCGGGTTCTGTATTTATATATCTGGCCGTCGGAGTCAGAAATCGCAGGTGTCGATTCAGGAGGTAGATAATTGCTTCCCATTCGGGGCGATCACGGGCAAACAAGGTTAGACATACGCGTCGCGGTCAATTCCCTCTGCTGCTTTGCGGTGCTGAGCAACAATCTGATTAGAATTATCTTTGGGAGTCCTTACTCGCATATTTGGTAGAAGAAGCTTGCCATATGTTGTCTTACGCGCCACGCTTGACATTCCTTGAAAGACTGGAGATGCATATATACTTGGCGTGAAACTAGCTTGTATTGGGCCAAGTAAATAAAAATCATAGTTAGACACGGAAAACGAATCAGGGGCTCAGGCGCGATTCTCTGAAAGACACGGACAGTGCCGAAAATCCGGAAATAGAATCTTCCTCGGCCTCCCGCTCAGTCTCGAGCCACTCTTCGCGAATCTTCCGCGGATTCCACGGCTTTCCCAGACGTAGAAGCACCCCGACGAGGTCAGAAATTTCGTCAAAGTCCACACCCCATGGAGGCGGGGTAGACCATCCTGCACGGGGGCGCTGCGGGCAATCGACAGGCTCGAGCACGTTCGGGCGTCTCCCCTGACGATCCAAACCTGCGAGCATACCACCGACCGCCGCGAGCACGCTCTGTGGCGCGAAATTTCTTCTGTCCTTCCAAGGTTCTAATAGGATACGACCCAAGCTGGGTAGGACTCGGAGTCCACGCACTAGACTATCGCGGATGGCCGCGCAGATTTCGATGGCCGTATAATTGCATACGAAGAGAAGCCAATTTAGATTGTCGAGGGAGCTGAACACCGTCTCCCAAGTGGAAGCGGGGATCGCGGGACAAGTGCATCGTGCGTCAAGCATGGTGATATGCATCCCTGTCACAGCATCCACGAATTGCCGCACCACACGCCCGGCATCTGTTTTCTCGATCGTCTGGAACTGGACGCGGAATCGGAATCGGGTCGAGGAAAAATTGGGAGGCGATAAGCGTTCGGCGGTTTCACGCATCGCAAGAACAAGGCCGAACTTGTCGGTCGGATCGGGCATCCAGGGTTGCAGGTCAGGACCCCTTTGAGTGAGCGCGCAGATCCGCAGGGATTCCAGGGGTGGTGCGAGGACATCTCCGACAAGTCGCCCGAAAGCGTCCATGATATCGAGGACGTCATTTCCGTCCTCGCCCGGGATTCTGGGAGCGAGGACGTGCAGCCGAGCGGTCGGAGGAACAACGACCCTGGAGAGGAACATGGCACAGATATGCGCAAGGCCCGTAATGGAGCAGTGCTTGAGATGTAGGAGATGCACGCGCGATTGCACCGGAGCAGACCGTGGTTGACCGATAGCATCCACCACATTCAAGTTGAGACGCAATTTGACGAGTGCTGGGCAGGCCTCCAAGGCGGATAGCATACGAAAGATTCTCTGCGGCGCACTACCTGAGAGAACGAGGCGTGTGAGACTACGCATTTCATGCCGAGAGTCCAAGATGCGCGCGCATTCTACTGTCAAGTTCTGCAAAGCCGGCGCTCGACCAGCAAAGAACGCGCCTGGGAGAATAATAAACTTGTGCCCGATGCGAATCGGCCTTTGCCCATGGCCGCGCTTCACAGAAGACCTTCAGCGACAGAAACGGTCGAGGAGCCAACATGGACAGGAAGCCAGTGCCCAGTTCAGTCGATCCAGTAATCACCAGTTCTTGAACACGAATGGAGGCTGGGACAATCATATTCATCATGCGGTCGTCCCATCGACCTTCCGACCGACCCTCGGCGTCGTCACAATACACAGCGATCTGGAACAACAGTAGGGCGGTGTTGGACAACCTCAGCATATTCTGTAGTCGTTTGGGGTTCCGTGCTGGGCAAGTCCGATACCAGATATTCGAAATAGTCTGCGAAGCCAGCAGTGTGTACCAACTTCTGCAGACGAGCAGGAGTGGTAGCAGCACAAATGAGCCGCCTGCATCCTTCTCTGCCAACACCTCACGAAAGATCGCGAGAAGAATGTCGGCGTTGAGCACACTGTGACTAGCCGCGGCGACATGGCATGAATGGAATGCGCATGTAGTTCCCTGACGCCAACTGACACTCGATTCTGCTCTTCTTTGATTGTCATGGGAGGAGTGGCCGAGAAGGATGTAGAGACTTGCGGCAACGCATCATGCTGGGGTCACTGGCACAGCAACGCGGGGGTAGCAGCACGACCGTCACGACTCTGAGTCCCCTTTCAAGAGCCGGGAGCTTGCGAAGATAGAGCAAGATAGGACACGAGGTTCCACGCCCGGTGCGCTCGAGAGCAGAAGGGAGACGATTCTTCAGGGCGCAGCACGAAAGTAGACAGCTATGAGTAGGGCAGGAGTTCGAAGTCCGAGTCAAAGGTGATGTGAAAGGAGACTATCATTCGCAACAACGCGCTGTATTCCCCCAATCTATCGAATCTCATTCGGTGCGGGGCATGATTGATGTGCGAGTCGACGAGGCAGAGTTGGGAAGTGATGGTGGTCAGGAGAAAAGGCTCAGTGATGTGGCCTCTCAATGTTTCTCGGCAGTCTCACAAGTCCGATGCGTTAGGAACTGGCACGCTGACCGCAGAAGAGGGAGTCTGGAGCACGAGTATATTGAAGTTGCCTGTGATATCAGATATGTATGTATTGGATATGTATTGGATGATTGAAAGCACGAAGATGGATGATATGTACGAGTCCGTAGATCAGCAAGAACTAGCCCTGGAAGAATCTGCAAGACGATAAGTTGAGATGGGCACGGAGAGAGAGCCGGCACGAAATGGATACAGAAATAGCATTTATACAGAGAAACCAGCCCCGCGACCCATCAACGCCCTCCGACTCTACTACATCCACCCTGGCGTGCCCCATACACCTCCGCCCTGCTGACCAGGCCACTGCGTCGGTACCCCACGAGAGACGACCCAGCGCCGGGCAGGGTATAGAACCCCTTGTGCCTGGGCTTGCGCCGCGTTGGCTGCAGATTTCGCCTTCGCCTTTGCCTTACGCTTGGCCTTCCGTTTTGCTTTGTCCTTGTCGTCGGTGTCGTCGTCCGAAGAAGAGGTGTCCGAATCTGAATCAGAGTCCGAATCGGAGTCGGAAGAGGAGGATTCGTCGGCAGGGGCAGGTGCAGGCGCTACCGGTGGGGGTGCCTGTGCCATGGATGCTTCGGGTGCTGATAAAGCTTCAGGTACAAATGGGACGGCAGCTGGAGGTGTTGGATCGGGGATTGGGAGTGCGGCTGCGGATGGCAGAACCGCTGGAGCTTGGGCTAGCACAGGAGGTGCAACTTGCGGCGGACCTGCGACTGGGGCTGCAGCTGTCGGTTCCAGAACGAATATTGGCGCAGTGGTCTCAGGAGCTGGCGGTCCGGGCGCAGTAGTTGCCACAGTTGCTGGTGTTGGTGCTGGCAATGCCGTCGGGACCGCCGGCACAGGTGCAGTCACCGTCGGACTTGCGGCTGCAGGTGCACCGGCAGTTGTTGCGGTCGCCGCTGCCGCCGTCGCGTCAGCTTTCTTCTTCAGCTTTCTCGCAGCTTTCTTGGCCCGTCTCTTCTCACGCTATCACGTATTATCAGCACACGGGGACGGCGTTCAAGGAAAGCAAACGACGAACCTCCTCCCGCTCTCTGCCTTCTCTCGCCTCCTTTTCCCTTGCCATTCTCTCACGCATCTCTCGCTCACCAGCAACCCATGCCGCAGCCTCGTTCGCCGCAGCCGCCGGGCGCGATTTGTTCTTCAGCAAGTCTGTACGTGCGGGTTAGTCAGAAATTAATCAATCGATCGGAAGTACTGACATCCTTGTAGAGCAGCGACGCTAAACTCGCCTTCCGGCACAGCCTCAGCAAAGGTCCGCGCAAGGACAGCCAGGGTCCGCGAGTCTAGCGGACGAGCGGAGTGCTGGGCCGCAAGAATTTCCGGAGCCACGGGCGGTGGGAGGAATGTCTTATTGGAGCTTCCGAATTGGGGCAGTCCGGGGACTGACGGGTCTGTTGATGGGGTCGAAGGGATGGATGGAGTCGACGAGGACGAAGACGAGAAGAAGGAGGTGTCAGACCACAAAGAGGTGGATGACGCCGAGCGCATATTGGTCCCAAGGGCACTCCCATCCAGCACGATATCATCCTCAGAATCAGAAGCAGCCGGTTCTTCCTCTGGGAAAAAGTTTCTAAACAGAGCCTCCGCTTGCCAGCGACTCGCATTCCGGAATTCGACCCACACATCCATCCGCCCCGGTCGAGACAATGCCGGATCAAGCTTCTCGAGATGGTTGGTCGTGGCAAAAAGAATCCGGCCCTCTGCAGCGGCCACACCATCCAGCGCGTTGAGCAGCCCGCTCAAGCTAAGGGTGTTCAGGTCGCTCATTGTATTAGAGGCGTTGGCGGCATTAGCAGCCTCGGCCCTGGCACGCCGCTTCGAACCAGCGGGCAGCTCGGGGCCTTCTCCTTGTCCATCGCCAGAATCAGTGCGGGAGACGGATCTGGTGAACGCAGCGTCGAGGTCTTCTAAGAGCAGAATGGCACCCTGAACGATCGGTTCATTAGTCAACTACCCGCGCACAGTCGCTGTTGGAATACCTTTGGAACCCGACCCATGAGACTCATCAATACGCTGTCGCTTATCCAAGCACTCGACAGCGATACGACGTACACATCGAGCATAAGCTCTCCTGCGATCGCATGGATCAAAGAGCTCTTGCCCGACCCTGGCACACCGTGCAGAAGATATCCTCTTCGAAACGGGATCCCCCGATCCGCATACCACTAGTCAGCTCCCAGTCAGCATCGGATTATGACCAACTAAGGCGAAACGTGCCCACCTTCTCGCTCGCAAGAAAATCACGTGCATCACCTAATAACATTTCCTTTACGCCAGGGTCGAGAACGATGCTTCCCATGGGGCGCTTATGCCGGGCATCGGCCCACCTCCAGCTCCCATGCGGGTCAGCAAAGAAAATCTGGATACGATGCACCGCCTCCGCTTCATACTCCCGCTTCGCAACCATCACAAGTGCCTTGAGCACATCGTTCGATCTAGCGACGACGCTGACGCTGAGGACCTCGCCCCCGTCGGTACCTCTTCCACGTTTGACCCGCAGCCAGTGCCCGCGCCAAAATATTGTGTGTGTAGAGTCGAATGTCGGTTGGAAGATCACGCGCGTTTTGGAGGGCGGTGAGGGAGTGGATGCCGATGATGAGGAGGGAGAAGGGTCGAAGTACGACGAAGAAGTGATGTCCTCTTCCTCCCATCCGGCCTGGCCCGCGTGTGCTGCCCGGGTAGTCGTCTCGAATTCCCGCGAACGTTGCCATTCGGGGCTGTGGCGTGCGGATTGGAGGGCGTGGAATGAGCGAGGTGGTGGTGGTGGTGATGGATGTGGCGCGGCGGATCCCGGTATACGTGTGCATGTGCGTCGTGAGGCCGAGGTGTCCGGCGTGAGGGGGGTGGGAATGTGCGGACGACGCGTGGTGGGTGTAGCATAGTCGTCAGTAGAGAAGAAAAGTAGCAGGGAGCGGAAGAATGAAGTACGCGTCAGCCTCTCGCTATTGCATCACACAGCAGCAAACACGGACCGTCGCGAGAGCCATAGCATCAGCCAGTCGTACGGGTGATCCTCCTCCGAGAAGTGCGCAGTGAGGAAGAAAGCTGTAGAATGCCAGAGTCAGCACACAGCATGGGCACTCAATATCGAAGAATGGGTAAGAGGAACACAAAACGAAGGCAGACGGGACACGAAGGCACCGAGCACCTCGAGTGAAGAGCGTGGAAGGGAAGGCGACGCACAGTTCACGAAATGGCTCCATGCAGAACTGCTCATCCGCCTCGCTGTCTCGACCGTGCCACCGAGGACGACGAGCTTCATCCCGTCCACGACGGACGAGCCGCCCACAAGGGTGCGGAGGGTGTCCATGCCGTGCTGTTGGCCAGGGAAATGAGTCTTGGGTTCAGAGTAGGTGGTGGTGAGGGGAGCGAAGAAAGTAGTATGGTGGGTGTGGAAAGGTAAGGAGCAAGGTGTATCCGTAGGTGCGTGTCTGTGTAATGTAAGTACTCTATCAGGCCAGAGCGGTGCTGTGCCTACGAGCACACGAACAAAGAAGCGAACAGAAGGAGGCCCACGCAAACAGGCCTGGTGGGTGTGCTTTGCTCGTTCTTCCCGTGCCCGTTCCCGTCCACGTCCCTGGACCTAGTCAACACAAGTCAAGCTGCGTGTGAGTCGCTCACTGTCTACCCTGCGCTTCCCCGGCCCCGGATGGCAGGCATGACCAGACCTGTGGCGGTGATATTGATCTATCGACTGATCAATCGTCCCTAATGCGGCTACACAAGTGCCTTATCGAGCACGGTGTCTGGGGTCTGTACAGCCTCTCGATCACTCCAGTCGTCCGTAGACGCCCTTGCTGTTCGTGCTGTGTATGGCAGTGAGTGGGGGGCGTCAACTACACAGAGTACGAACGGCCATAGCTCATTCAATGATACAACGCTGTTATGTGAGAAGTTCGCGGGGTGTAAGCTGCTCAGCCTCATGGCTATAAACCCAGTTACTTACGCGGGACGGCTAACACGCACAAGCGTTTTCCGGGCGCGGGAGAATGTGCTTTTGATCTCCTTCGGCAACCCATGTGTAAGCTAACGCTAATGTTGTCGCCGAGTTCCGAATCCCTGGACCTAATTACAAGTTACTTACCATGAGTCCCTGAATTGCCCCCCCATGGCCCGGGATTCATTTCGGATGGTATTCTTGCAGCACCGGAGTACCCTATACCTAGATGTAGCTGATGATAACTCTAACCCCACAACTAAGATAGATGGGGCATATATAGGGAGGAAATCAATTATTGAGAATCTGTTCTGATCCAACAGGTTCTGCTGTGCGCTCGGGCCCATTTCGGACTAGTTCCCGAGTAGCTGTGATTGAGGAATGGCACCATATTGCCAAGACGCAGGGATTGTTCTGGATATCTCTGATCAAGGGGCCGCTTGATCTGCCACTGCGGTCTGCTCAATACCATCTTCTTGGGAAAGAGCTGCCAGAATCAAGTACGGAGTAGAATATAGCTCGTACATAAGAACCCTCGCGAAGGACATAGGCGCTGCCCCGGGATTGCTGGAGATCTGGTGGCAGTATGGGAATGACACGCTTGTGTTCTACGGTTTTGGAGCCGCGTTTTTTTTTTACCTTCTATCGATTGGTCGGCCCATACCGTTCGACACAGGCCGCGTGCATCACGAAAATAGAGCTTTTGGGACACTGTCACTCAGAGAGGTTTAGCCGGGAACCTGATCATGAGCTCGAGCCCCATTTTCATTCACGTTGAAAATGGTCCTGACGCTGAGACAATTCATTCGCTTGAGCCAAATTGTTTCATGTGATAGGTTCTAGGGACTGTAGAATCGATTCTACTTCGCAGCGGGGTAGTCGGTGTACCCGATCGCATAGTCCACACCCTCGATTCCGTACGTATGCTTCAAGTCAGGCGCGTTATCGAGCGGGATCCCAGCTTTGATACGGTAGCCGACATCCGGGCACGTGATCTGCGCAAACCCAAAGAACACCCCAGCGATCTCACCACCACTCACAAGCTTCTCAGCCTCTTCCGGAGTCACACCGGAATTGACCCAGATCGGGGTTTTCTGCAAGAAAGGGCTGTACGTGGCGACAATGTCGTGCGGGGTGCCCCGTTTCTTGCCTTCCATGAAGAAGTGAGAGAAGAGCTAAGAAAGTGGTCGGTTTGCACTGACCATCATATTCGGGGTCGAAAGCCTCGCTGTATCGGACGAGGGCGACGTATGACAGCCCCATGGTGTCGACGGCCTTCAGAAGATAGCTGTACGTGTCGATAGCATCCTGGAGAGGCATACCCATGTCTGAAACCGATTCGCTATCAGTTTTTGAATGATGGTCCTGAAATAAATACTCGCCATTGTAGCCTCCAGCTGGATAAACAAAGTCAGCTTCGAAAAAAAAACACGGATTATGGATGATTGGATCACCAGGGTTGATCTTGATCGAGACATTCTCGCCATACACCTCAATAAGCGCCTTCAATGTCTCCAACGCAAACCGGGTACGGTTCTCGACGCTGCCACCCCATTTGTCGGTGCGCTGATTCGAGTGAGTCTCGAGGAACTGAGCCACAAGGTAGCCGTTTGCCCCGTGCACTGCCCGGTTCCTCGTCAGCAAAATCTGCACTCGGCATCTAAGGACCAGGCGCTCACGTTCGACTCCGTCGAAACCCGCCTTTTTAGCATTGACCGCGGCTTGCTTGATTTGGGCGATGAGGACCGTGGGGTCAGGTACCTCGGTGGGCTTTCGGAAACGAATCAACGACAAAGATCATATCATGCTAGCGGGCGACGCACCGTCACGTAGCCCGGGACACCAGGCAAAAGTCTGAACTTTCCTCCGCGTGCAGAGATGGCCGAAGGCGCCCAGACAGGCTACGATATATGCGTTCAGCTCGCTGAAGATGATGTTGTCAGGACGAACCTCTCCAGCAGCCAATTGCTCGGGTGCATCGGGGTGACTGATCCGACCCACTGTCATTGCCGCTAAGCTGAGATCCCGAGGGAGAGAGACCTTGCGACTCACAGTGCAGCAACTGGCAGTAGATTTTAGAACCCTCTGCATGAACAGCATCCACGATTTTCTTCCAACCGTCGATCTGCTCTTGGTTGAAGATACCAGGTGCGTTAGGCCATTCGGTCCTGGGTTGGATCAGCAACATGCGAGATGGACGCATATGAAAACAAGGCCGCCGCACCCTTGACGCGATGGGAGCGTTCCCTCGGTGACGATGAAACCAGTTCCGCCCTTGGCGCGCTGGACATAATATTCGAGCATGATAGCATTGGGAACGGTGTGATCTGAGCGATTACGCGTCAGAGCGCTCATTCCTGCCGCAACCTCCAGTCAGTCAAAGCAGTTTCAAACGGCGCAAAATAGACAAGGCCCACCGATCCTGTTGGGGATGGTAACAGATCCTAGCTTGGTAGGTGTGAAGAGAGCCATGGCGTGCTAGATATGGATGGGAGAGTAATGAGACAACATACACGAATTCATTGGACCTTTATAGCATTCCATGCTATGATATTATGCGATAAGTATTATCGCAGGAATTGCCATAGATATCGGGATTTCTTATGAACCAGAGCATTAGCAGTTAGAACGTGTGCGGAGATTGTGCGGAAATCTGGAGTCTGGCCGCTACAGCGCACTCCGAGAGAAGTTCACAACTGCACGAGTGCTCTAGCCGGCAATAGGCTGAGTGAGCAACAGAGCAGGCTTCAAAAAGCGCGTGACGGCGTCGGCCCGTGAAGTAAACAAAATGACGTCACAGTACAGTCATAGGATGACTGTCCTTTCACTGGTCATTTCGCGCTTTTGACCAGTTCTGACCACCGTTCACTCCATCTATCCTTTGCTCTCGTCAATGTACCAGTAAAATATTCCTTGTGAATCAATAACATGGTTTATGCAGCATGCTTTTGATCTCGACCTTACTCTGTTGAATGACGATAATCAAGGTTCCCATCCACTTTGCTCCCAAGATGGCGAAATAATATGCGAAGAGCAGGGCAAAGGAGCTCTTTTTTCAATTGCTGGAGTCTTAGGAGGGGGTAAGCTCTGCTTCCTCTTGACAGACCGTTTCGATCTCAACCTGGACTTGCAGAAAGGACAGCACACCTCCCGAGCCCACGGGATATGGCTCGAGTGCAACGCCCGCTCGCCCGTCCAATTACAATGAGCCGAGCACCTCACTGTCATCTCATGATTTCATTCAGAGCTCTGACCGGCTCAGGCTGTCCAAACAACACGCGCTACATACTCATACTCACCACCGCGTCCACCACCATTCGTCGGCGGATACGACCCTCAGAATCTTGCTCCCGGTCCGTTGCCACGGCCTTCAGCAATGTCCATGCCCATGCCAGCTGCCTCACTCACGATCCAGTATTCGCTCAATCAGCCTCGAACCTCTAGTTTCAGCCTCTAGTTTCCTGGACGCGCCAGTACAAACGGTGCCTAGACCGCATTCTCTTCCTCCCCCGTCGAATCTAGAGTCCCATTCATCTCTCCCCTAACATATTCAGCTCTCGACACCTCAACCTCTTCTGCTAGCTCCAGCTCGAGCACACGCACCCAGGGGTAGCCCCTTCAATGGCAGTCGAGTTCCGCATCAGGGATTGAAACTTGTTCGGGCTTCACTAGAGGAGGGAAACAATGTACCCGCGAAGTGAAATTTCGAGGACTTGCTTTCGCGTATTGAATGACCGGGCAGGCGGACACAGACATCGACGGGAACCCGAGCAGCGAAGGCGCATAGTACCCTCAAGGTTCGGTTCAGAAATCGTTTTGAACTCGAGCCTCGACTGCTCAAACCGAGCCGACGCACATGAGCTACACAAGCTGTGACGGTTGTATCCCTCCTCTTGCTTACCTGACCGCGATGACTCCCCATCAATGATTGTTTGTGTTTAGTTAGATAGTTTGATCGTAGTATAAGTAGCTAGGAGTGTACGATCGGTACACTAGTCAATTCTAAAAGCTTATCCCTGTCATTCGTGGATTGACTACCCAGAACTCTTGTGTCGGAACTCGTTCTTGGACGCTTCCGCCACATATTTTTGACAGAAAAAGCTCTACTATCTTCACATCGTTCTGGCTACCTCTCGGATTGATCTCCCGCGACGGCCGACTTTGACGAAGACCCATAAACCACTCAACACCGCTACCATGCAACAACCAAGCCAACCTATACCAACCGCCCCCACTCGTTCCCTGCGCCGCCGCAACTCCCGTGGCAACGTAATGACGACAGGGGCACCTCAGTTACCACCGCCATCACCCGGTTGCACCCCCGCGGGGGTCCTCCTGGGTACCCTCAGACGTAGCTCTGAGGGTACCTAACAGGTACCCCCCTGCGGGGCCCGCGGGGGGGATTTGGTCCATTTGGGGGTGGGGGCATATGCGGGGGTCAGCAGGGGGGGGTCTGTACATGTCATGTGATTTATCATTGGGAGCGGGCAGGTGGGCGCAAAAAAAAAAATGAATCACATGACACATCCAATGGGCGGGATGGCGGCTGATGGCGGGGTAAAAAAATCACGTGATGCACCGCATGAAAATTATCAAAAATGGCTAGCAGGGGTTGGCGGGGGTTGGCGGGGGCGCTACTGGCCCCCCGCACACCATGGCGGGCAGTGGGCGCATTATCACGTGACTTTTGGGGGCACCTTTTGTGCACCATTCGGCATGATTTCGGAGGTGTTGCTTGATCCATTGCATGCTGTGGCAGACAATGGGCGCATAATCACGTGATTTTCCGCCCAAAAAAATGGAAGCCTTCCCCAAATCATCCTGGTATCATTTCTATCGGTAAATACACTAGTTAAGCATGAATTTGAGCTTAGAAAGCCCAAAATGCACCCTGCACAATGGGACTGGTGATGCACTTGATCCCATCATTTGGCGGGGTCTGCTGCGGGGGGTGCCACGGGGGTGCTGCGGGGGGTGCTGCGGGGGGTGCCGCAGGGGGTGCCACAAGGGGTGCCGCAGGGGGTGCCGCAGGGCCCGCTGTGGGGTCAACCACAGGAGCAGGGGTAGGGGTGCATTGCATCATATTTTGATCTATCTATTCTCGCTGTGGTCATAGCATGCAGCATAATTATCCTTCATTTTGCCAGGAGTTTGGAGGCTGTGTCTGGGGTTGGTCTGCAGCTACAGCCATGTGACTCCCTGATGCTTCGGCAGGGGCTGGGATATCAAAACTGTGCAAATTTACCTAAATCTTTTGGCTTAGCTTGGGGCACTGATATATATGACTTGGTTCATTTTGGCATGGTCTGCTCAAGCTGTCAGGTCAAACTAAAAATTTGAAAAATGTGCAACTTGATTTGTTAGGCAAATCTCCCAAGTACATGCTCCAGGGACAGCCAACATCATCAACAAGAAATGGCTAATGTTTCTTTTCTCTGTCTGTTTGCTTCAGGTAGTCTGTCTGCACTCAAATTTTTCTCTCCATTTGCAGCATATTCCGTGGAGGTGTCATAATTGTTGATTTCCGGATTTCATACTTCTTGTCTACACACCATTTGGGCCCTTTACTGAATCCAATAATACTGTAGACTCTTACAATGGATTGAGCAGGACATTTGTCAATTAAATCCTTGCAGGGGTTGGGGGGGGTCAACCGCAGGGGGTGCCGCGGGGGGTGCCGTGGGGGTGCACAAGCATCTGCCAGCCTACCAAATGTGGATCAACTACAAAATCACTTTCCAAAGCTTCTGTACTGCAACCCAAGTGACTTCTAGGTAACCTTTACCCAATCCCAGTGAAACAACTTCACTGCTCTTGTTTCTGGGTGACAATTGATTTTATGAGCTTGAGTGTGTATGTGCGCTTCTTAGTCGGAAATGAGGCCATGTGATGAGAGGTAGGGCACCGAAACATTGTAAAATACTATATTCAACATGACCGGTGGCCCATGTCTCTTCAAACCAGCCCATATGTCATGTTTATCAAGACCCTATTTTTCGGACTCATTTCAAGTTTTTGAATGGTTCCAGGGTCCAGGGCTCTCAGAATTTGTTTCAGACACTGCCAAAGAGTATATCATTCAGCTGTATTGAATTGCTTGTGTGTAGAAAAAATATTTTTTGCCATACTCAAAGTGAACCATGTTGAACCATTGTCTACATAGGAAACTTGAGCAATGGTGAACTGTTTTCATGTTTCGATTTTTAGGTGGACAAAGGATATGAAGTACCTACATATTCAACAAGAATAGCATATGGAGACCTTATTCCGATGGTTTTCAGCTGCATAACTGTAGGAACAGTGTTAGAAGAGCAGTAAACACTTAGGTACGACGTTTATACAGGTTCTGATTGGCTAGTGACTTGACGTGTTCCGAGCTGTCAGTTTACATAATCTTACATATAAGAAAATCACGGGGACAAGGCACCGGTGCAGCGGGGGGTGCTAGACTGGCGGGGGTGCCAGCAGGGGTGCCGGCGGGGGTGCCAACAGGGGTGCCGGCAGGGGTGCCAATGGGGGTACCAGCAGGGGTGCAGGCAGTGGGTCATGGCAAGGATGTGTGCAGCCCCAGAGGTAGTAAAAGTAACCATCTATGTCTCTACAGTCTATCTTGCAAATATACGAGCTCTGAGTGCACAGAGTGTTGTATATGAAATTTGAAATTCAAATATTACCAATCTCTGACTATTGTGAGGCAACTTGCTGGTGAATCCATTGTCTCATATTCCACCTAGGAATCAATTCAGGGCATGTCAAATCCACTCTATTACATCTGTTCATGTTGCAACTAAAGCAAACTGCTTGTAAAGTAACACAGAACAGATGAACTTCAATGAGTCCCAGACAGGAAGTGTGACATTAGGTATGTAATTAATGTGTGGTATCATCCACTGGGTAAGATCAGACTGTGCCTACAGCATGATCAGCTTACCAATGGGCATGTGTATAGAATGAGCAGACGAAACAATCAATGAGTTGACAGTGGACCCGATGCAGCCCATGATGTCAGCCCACCTACCCTGCCAGCCAAAAAATGAACAAATCACACTTTCTTTTTAACCCTACATGCCTGGATTATGCAGACAATATTGCACAGTTTTGATATCCCAGCCCCTGCCGAAGCATCAGGGAGTCACATGGCTGTAGCTGCAGACCAACCCCAGACACAGCCTCCAAACTCCTGGCAAAATGAAGGATAATTATGCTGCATGCTATGACCACAGCGAGAATAGATAGATCAAAATATGATGCAATGCACCCCTACCCCTGCTCCTGTGGTTGACCCCACAGCGGGCCCTGCGGCACCCCCTGCGGCACCCCTTGTGGCACCCCCTGCGGCACCCCCCGCAGCACCCCCCGCAGCACCCCCGTGGCACCCCCCGCAGCAGACCCCGCCAAATGATGGGATCAAGTGCATCACCAGTCCCATTGTGCAGGGTGCATTTTGGGCTTTCTAAGCTCAAATTCATGCTTAACTAGTGTATTTACCGATAGAAATGATACCAGGATGATTTGGGGAAGGCTTCCATTTTTTTGGGCGGAAAATCACGTGATTATGCGCCCATTGTCTGCCACAGCATGCAATGGATCAAGCAACACCTCCGAAATCATGCCGAATGGTGCACAAAAGGTGCCCCCAAAAGTCACGTGATAATGCGCCCACTGCCCGCCATGGTGTGCGGGGGGCCAGTAGCGCCCCCGCCAACCCCCGCCAACCCCTGCTAGCCATTTTTGATAATTTTCATGCGGTGCATCACGTGATTTTTTTACCCCGCCATCAGCCGCCATCCCGCCCATTGGATGTGTCATGTGATTCATTTTTTTTTTTGCGCCCACCTGCCCGCTCCCAATGATAAATCACATGACATGTACAGACCCCCCCCTGCTGACCCCCGCATATGCCCCCACCCCCAAATGGACCAAATCCCCCCCGCGGGCCCCGCAGGGGGGTACCTGTTAGGTACCCTCAGAGCTACGTCTGAGGGTACCCAGGAGGACCCCCGCGGGGGTGCAACCGGGTGATGGCGGTGGTAACTGAGGTGGACAGGGGAGCTAGCTGCGCTACCACCTCCCACCTCGGTGGAGCGCCCCCCGGCCCAGGAGCGCACCTACGCTAGAGTAGTGTCCCCGGCTCCGGCCAACCCTCCCCAGCCCGTCGACGCGTCATTGACCGTCGGCGGAGACATAGCGAGTAACCCCTCCCCGGGAGAAAGCCCAGCCCGTGTACACACGGAGAATCCCCAACCGCCCCTGTCTGTACTGGTCAGGGGCGAGACTGATCGCCAGCGCATGCGCACCACGATCGAGGACGTCGAGGACAAGGAGGGACCCTGGACTATAGCCACCAGACGGACGGCTCGCACCCACCGGGAGTCCGTTAGCAGCATAGCCACCAGTGTTTCAATTAGAATCAGCGAGAGGCGCAACGAGACGTACAACAGTCTGGAGGAGCTCACCTCCATAGTGGATGAGGCGGCCGAATCTATGTCGCCCGAAGTGCTGCGCCTGATCTCGGATCGCTACGCCAGCTTGGCTAACGCCGCTGAGCAAAAGACACCCGTCTTCAAACGGGAGTCTGACAATGACACGACTTCTGAGTCGGACGCCAGATCGGACGCGATCGGCGAAATGTCGTCAAGGATGGTCGAGCCCGGAAAGGAGGCCGACCATGTGTTAGAAAACGGAAATGATTACATTCACCCGTTGGAAACAGCCGAGTGGTCAGAGGACAACGGGGGATCTTCTCCGCCGATTGCCGGTCCATCGCAGGAAAAGGGCAAAGGACCCGACCCAGGCAACTGGGGAGAACTTGGTTTATCCGACGCCGAGCTGGAGGGGCAGAAAGTAGCCTTCCAGGCCTTTGAGTCGGCCCAGCGAGAACAGAATCGCTGGAAACCCAACCCGAGGGACACCAGTGCGGCAGATAAGGCGGCACTTCGGTCAACCGAAAGACCGCCCTCGTCCGAGTCGCCGCTCGCCGAGAGGCTCGAGATAATCGAGGCGCCGCAGGGTGAGGAGCTGGTGAATCAAGGCGTGTTCCTGAGGGAGTTCTCCCGAATGCGGGAGCGCATCGCCGAGCTTGAGGCCCGAGAACGGAGAAGAAGAGTCTCAAAGCACCCCGAAGCTCGCCATCAGAAGACGCGCGAGAGCGAGCCTCACACGTCTCGCCATAAGGGGAAGCGCCCGCAGGAAACACCGACCACCGAGAGAAGACGCTCACGTTCGGGGAGAGAGACCGCCGGCTTTGTTACTAGTGTCCTAAGGGGGGTCAGCCTCCAACCTTCCGATGACAGTAGCTCCGGCTCGGGGTCCTCGACGAGCAGCTCTGGTTCAGATGACGAGGACTCGGACGGACCGCCAAGCGACTCCTCGAGTGAATCGGATTCGGATCCCAGCGACGCAAGCTCAAGTGCAGACGGCTCGAGCTCAGACTCCGGGTCTTCGACTGGGAAGAACAAGGCCAAGAGAAAGAAACGAAAGACAAGGAGGTCTGAAGATCGACCAAAGGGTAGGATGTTGGTAAAACCTAACCCCCCCGCGCGCTACGACGGATCTGAGAATGCAGACCTTTACACCCAATTCGTTGACGAGTCCAATAGGTATTGCGAGCTCGGAAACGTGCCCAGAGCTCATCGTGTTGCGATCATTGGGTCCTTCCTGGACGGCGACGCCAAGGATTTCTACAATAGGCGAATTCGCGGCCATGAGTCCGACTGGACGCTGAAGAAGATGCTGCGTCGGCTTCTGAAATACTGCTTCTCGCTGGATTACCGCCAGAAGCAGCGTAAGCGGCTGGCGCGCTGCCATCAGAACGGCAAATCAGTCAATAAGCACGTATTGGAAATGGAGAGCATACTCTTACAGATCGGACTGAGAAAGGACCGGGAGCGGGTCGCTCTGCTCTGGAATAGCTTGGATGCGGACATCCAAGAAGAGCTGTTCAGGTTCGGCCTTGACCCCGAGAAATCAAAGTGGTCCCGTGTGGTGAAGAAGGCGGTAAGGGCTGAGCGCTTTCTGAACCTAGACAAGCGGCGAAAGGGCAAGGGTACAACAAACAACGCAGCCAGCCCCAGCGCAGTGACCCCAGGCACCGGTCGGGAAGCAAGGAAGAAGAAGTTCTTCCCGCGCAGACAAGGCGGGGTTATCAAGACAGCAGCAGCCGTAGTAGTCCCGCCTCGTGAGAGTGGGCCTAAGCTTGCTTCCCGCCACACTCCCGCTCCTGGGTCAACGTCAGCTACTTCGAAAGTCCCAGAGAAACAGGGAGAGCGACCATGGGAGCGTCGGCTTTCACCTCAGAAGAAGGCTGAGCTGATGTCGCGGGGGGTCTGCCTAAATTGTGAAGAAGCCGGTCATATGGCGCGCAGCTGCCCGAAGCTCACTACGATGAAGTCCAAGGTGAAGGGGAAGCCCCCAGGATTCGGGGCGCACGGAGTAAGCCTGCGCTTGGCTTCTCTGGGAGAAACCACTGAAGTGCTGGACACGCTGGAGGTCTTGAGCGCCTTCCCAATAGGATTTCGGGAAGACGGTGCTGTGCTGGAGCAATGGTCAGATCTCGAGTGGTCTGAAGAGGGCACGGAAGACTGGGACGACCCTGAAGAAGCGGAGGTTGACGAGCTGGAATACGTTGTGCGTGGAATAGACGACAGTTCGGAGGTGGAAGAGCTGGTGCACGGGATCAGATCCATGACGCTGGACCCTCATCCCAAGGACGACAGCAGGCTACGCCGACCTGAATGTGGCTTAATCGACCGGCCCGCTGATTTGGTTACCAAGACGGGACTGGGAGATATGGGCATCGGGGATCTTGCGGCCCGGTTCGCAAGCCTGGTCCTTCAGCAGTGCGCGCCCTTCCCGGGCGACGACGGCTCCGAACCCACGGAGGGACGGTTTCTCGTGTACCGCGTCCTGGAGGAGGACTACTACTGCATCCTGGACTGCGGAACGCCCCTGAATATACTGGAGGGCGATGAGCTGGTAAAGTCGTGCGACTTACACGATCCTAATTTTGAGCTGGGCTGGCATTGGGCACAAAAATGCTATCTAGCGCGGGGTATTCACCCCGACGCGCCTGACTTAGTACTCCCGGAGCGATATTTCCGTGCGTTGGGCGACTCCATTTTTGCAATGACCCTCATTATTCTACAACAGTACGAATCTGAGCACAAGCGAAGCTCACTGATCGAAGGACAAGAAGTGTCGCCCAACGTGTTTGAGATTAGCCGTACGGGTAGCAATGTACGTGTACAAATGGAGCGAGCTACCCTGCTGGACCAGAACTTTGACCTGCACCGGTGGTACAACGATCACATGGATGGCGACACGGGGTTGTACGACGACCTTCCCCTCCTGGAAAGCTCCAGTGAATCCGACGGCGAGCTCGAGGGAGAAACAGACGAACCGACCGAGACATCCTGGCAGGCTTGGGTGAGAGCGACTTCCGACTGCGGACTTCAGCCAGATCTCTGGCCGAGCCCAATCACCTCAACGGATGTGGCGGGTGATGAGTTGCCTGAAGAAGCGGCCCAAGTGGGCAGTGGTCAGTGGGACATGTGTTTCGATGAGCCCCGGCGGAGGAGTCCTCATGAAAGGAGGATTGGAGACCTCATGTCTGATGGCGTACGATGTCTACTGGAGTTCTGTCAGCCATACCCTGGTGACGACAGCGTAAACAATCACATGCCGCGTGACGCCGGGGAAAGGTTCAGCGTGATTTCGTCCTGGTGCGAAGAAGGTTACTACGTGAGGGACCGCAAGAACAATCTGTCGACTTACCTGCCGAGATCCATGCTGGAGAATCGGCGCTTCGAGTTAGGCGCCTGGTATTCCGGCCGGGTAAGCAAGCAACTGTCCATACCGGCAGAAGAACTGTCCGGGGAACATCGAATCGCGGTTGACGACCTGCTGGGGATACAACTGAGCTTCTACTTGGACGAGATGGTGTCTCGGTACCCGGAAGCATGTGGAAACTGCGTCAACATTGAGCCACGGTTCTCGGAAGGCAAGATCGAAGGCCCAAACGTACCCGTCTTGTACGTCTTCGAGATCCAGGACAGCGGGGGCCTGACGCGAGTAGAAGTGCCACGTAAACAGCTCTTGAACCCGAGACTGGATTTGGTCAACCTGCTGACTAGAAAGCGCCAAAAGTCAGATCGAGCGAACTGCAAAGCGGTGACATACCCCATGGTGCCGCCGGACAGCTGGTGGTTTTCGCGAGAAACCATGGTAACAACGGAAGGCGTACCCTGCGCCCTGGCTTGTCACGGCGCGCAGGTGCCAGCGGACAAGATGCCCGGGATCGCACGATCGGCCTCGTTCCCGAAGTCAAAGGATACCGTTGTTGCAAAGCCATTGGTGATTGTGGTACACGTGAACGGGCACCCGCTTCGGGCCCTGGTAGACTCGGGATCGTTGGGCGACCTGGTATCGACCACGGTGGTTGATCAGCTGAGATTGCCGTTGCGGAACCTGGCTGAGCCTCTCACCCTCCAGCTGGCGGTCCAAGGATCCAGGTCAAAGATAAATCACACTACGCGGGTAGGAGTGAGATACCAAGACATAAACGGGCCTCGTACCTTTTTCGTAGCGAATATCAGCGGCTACGATCTGATACTGGGGACCGCGTGGTTGTTCCAGCATCGCGTGAGCATCGGTTTCAATCCCTCACGTGTGTGTGTGGGAAGCGCCGACCCTGAGCCGTTAGAAGGAGTGGCAACGGCACGACTACACACCGGTGCGACGGACGTGCAGACCGGAGATCTGGAGCAAGCACGAGGAAAGCTGAGAGAGTATGCCCAGGAAGTGTGTCGAGTGGCGGCGGAAACAGAGCTGCCGCCGCTCAGGGCAATAAATCACAGCATTCCGTTGATCGACCCGGGCAAAGTCATGCCATGGCGAATGTCTCGGTGCCCAGATGCGCTCAGACCCCAGTGGGATGAGAAGCGACGAGTATACCTGAAAACGGGGCGCTGGAAGATAACAAACGCCGGGAACACAGTACCTATGTTACTGATCCCCAAGGCAAAATCTAGCCCCCCGCGACTTCGGGTGGTAGTGGATCTTCGGGAGCGCAATGCGAACACGCGGAAGATGGCGTCGCCACTTCCAGACATGGACGGAATACTACGCCGCGTAGCTCGATGCCGTTTTCGATCCCTAATTGATGGCCAGGACGCATACGAGCAAATACGAGTGATCCCTGAGCATGTGAATAGAACAACGATGACAACACCCGACGGAAATATGGTGAGCCTGGTACTGCAACAAGGGGACTGTAACGCACCAGCGACCTATCAGTCTCTCATGAACTACCTGTTCTCAGACTATATTGGCCGATTCATGGACGTATATCTTGACGATATCATAATCTATTCAACGACGCTAGAAGACCACGTAAAGCACGTTAAGTTAGTAATTGACGTTCTGAAAAGGGAGAAACTGTACCTTGGAGAGAATAAGCTTCAGTTTCTACAACCCGAATTGAAAGTCTTGGGACGGGTGATCACGGACCGAGGGATCCGGATGGATTCCGAGAAGGTAGATACTGTACTGAACTGGAAGACGCCCACGAATCGGGACCTCCTCCGTGGCTTCCTGGGATCGGTGGGCTACCTGGCGGATGATCTGGCCCGAGTGCGCGTACCTATGGGAGTATTGCACGGCTTGACTGGGGACACAGTCCCGTTTCGCTGGGGATTTACGCATCAGCGCGCGTTCGAAGATATAAAACGGATTGTGTCTGACCTTAGGAACCACCACAGAGTGCCCTTAGACTATGGCCCGGACGCGGAGCCTATCTTTCTGGTAACAGATGGCTGCGCCACTGGCGTCTCGGGCGTGGTGTGCCAGGGCCCAGACTGGAAGAGCGGAAAGGTGGCGGCATTCTACTCAGCGAAGCTGAACTCGGCCCAGCAGAACTATCCAGTGCACGAGATTGAAATGCTGGCGGGGGTCGAGTCAATGCTTAGGCACCGGGATATCCTGCAAGGCTGCCGATTTCAATGGGTTACCGATCATAAAGGACTCACGCACCTGTTGAGCCAGCCTAACCTGTCGGGCCGCCAAGCGCGATGGGTGGAGAAAATCTCGAGCTTTGACTTCGAGATTATGTACGTGCCGGGGCCAGAGAATGTGCTGGCGGACGCCCTATCTCGAATGTACTCAAATGAGACACCGGGGACAGTGCGCGCAAGATCAGAATACACATACCACGACGTGATAGATAACGACGTGCTGGCCGTGCACAATGTGTCCATGCCTGTGTTGTCGGGTCTCGAGGCAATGGCGGTCTCGTCCGACCGGGTCCTGAGGTCGAAGACGCGCGCAGACGCGTTAGCGGCAAAGGCGCTGCTGGACAAGGCGAAGAGCCCAAACGCGGGTAGGATACCAGCACCGGCTCCAAGATCCATAGACAAGCAAAGAGTGAAGGTTCTCGCCCCAGAGGACGAGAAGGAGGGCGGGACAGATAGAGAGAGACCAGAAGACAGTGAGAAAACGACCGACCAGCAGGAGGGCGGGTCACAGCCACCTGCCAATGAATTTGATTCCGCTGATCGGTCCTCGGACCTTGAAAACGCAATGAGTTCACGGATCGATGAGACAGATCCGTCGTTGATACCGGTCATACGTCAAGGAAAGGACGGGCTGGACCTGGCAGGATTCATCCAGAACCGTTTTGAGGAAGATAAATTCTTTAAAAATATAGTGGACCGGCCAAAAGAACACAAGAACTTTGAGATAAAGGACGGGCTGGTTTACATGAAAGACAAGGACCACATGGTACTGTGCATCCCTAAGCTGGAATACAACGGGCGCTCCATCAGGGAGGTTGTCATATCAGAGGCGCATTCTGTCCTGGCACACCTCGGGGCTCGGAAAACGGTAGATTATATTCGAGAGCACGTATGGTGGAAAGACTTGGTACACGACGTGAAGGCCTACTGTGACTCATGCTCAGTGTGTAAGCGAAGCAAGCCAAGCAATCACGCACCTTATGGCTTGCTCAACCCTCTTTCCACTCCCCACCGACCATGGGAAGCCATTGGAGTCGACTTTGTGGGGCCTTTACCTGACTCCAAGAACAGAGACAGTGTCTTTAATTCCATCTCTGTGGTCGTGTGCCTTCTGACTGGAATGGTTCACCTGATACCCTGCCGAGTGAATTACACTGCTCGACAATTCGCTGAGCTGATGTTCGAGCACGTGTATAAACACCACGGCTTACCAAACGCAATTGTAAGCGACCGGGACGTGCTGTTCACCAGCACGTTCTGGCAGCGCTTGCACGATCTCGTGGGCACAGAGTTGAAGATGTCGAGCGCGTATCACCCAGAGACCGACGGAGCGACTGAGCGCGCTAACAGGACGGTTACCCAGTTACTGAGACAGTGCGTGAGTAACAAACAGACGGACTGGGTGACTCGGTTACCGGCCGTCGAGTTCGCCATGAACATGGCCTGGTCAGAGACCACCGGGTATTCTCCGTTCTTTCTGAATAACGGAATGATGCCGAGATCGTTACTATGGGACTCCTATCGATCAAAGGAGTTTCCCGGGGTAGCCACATTCTTACTCCAGCGGCGCCTGGCAATCATGGCAGCACACGATGCCATATTGGCGTCCCGGGTGAAACACATCCGAACGGCAAATCGCAAAAGGATTCCGGCGCCGTTCGTGAAGGACGACCTGGTATATCTTAGTACGAAGAATATACATTTTGAAAAGGGGCTGGCACGCAAGTTACTCCCCAAATTCATAGGCCCGTATCGCATAACGCAGGATTTCGGGAATTCTTCATTCCGGGTTGACCTGCCCCCTAACCTGGTTCAAAGAGGGTTACACAATGTCTTCCATGCGTCCCTGATGCGGATCCACGTACCAAACGACGATCGGCGGTTCCCTGGCCGCATGGAGAATCAACTGAATGTTGCGGACGCGGCCACAGACTCCGAGTGGGCCGTGGAGAAGGTGGTTGGACATGCGGGGAGCCGACGCCGAGCCCTCTTCGAGGTCAAATGGAAGTCCGGCGACCTAACATGGATGCCCTATCAACAAGTGAGTAGACTGAACGTCTTGCAGGATTACTTTGAAATACTGGGGATTAGCGACGTGTCTCAGTTGAAAAAGGGGGCGAGCGAGGCCCCAGCGATCGACCTGCAGTCCGGGAGCATGCGGTTCCACTGGATAGGAGAAGTGAGAAGGGAGACAAATAGGGAGGACAGGACGAACGGTGCTCAAGAATCCTGCCCGCCCCTTCTGCCTGCCCTGCATTTCCGCGAAATGACGAATCCCCAGACACCCAATGCGTACGCGGGCAACGTGGTCAGCGACAAAACGAAGATGGGAGAACCCCTCACCCCGCAGCACCTCGAGTTTAACGTCAAGCACAAGGGTACCCTGAAATGGGTAGCGCCCGGCGTCCTTCTCGTGCATCTTAACGACGGCGACGCTCTCCTGACGGCACATCAGTTCCGGCAGTGCTTACTCTGGAACGAAGCGGTCAACAACCCGGATTTCGACGGCACGGTGTACGGCCGAGGACCGATTGGTATCGCGGAGCTCGGAGCGGCGTGCAACCGGTACGACAACAAAAGTTGGTCGTTCGCGTCGGTGGATGAGAGTGGGGGGATTGTGTTTGCCGAACAGTACGTTCCCTCGGTTCACGATGGCCTGTGCTCGGACGACATTATGGCCGGCCGTGACGCCCCGGGTATGATCACCATCACCGTTGCCGAGTATGAGGAAGGCCGTGAGGCCATTATTGGACGAGATCGCGCCATCCGGAAGGCGAGAGAGCGACGTCTCGCTGAGAGGGACATACCCGCATCCACGGAGGATTACGCGACCGGAGTCAACGGCGGAGCGATGATTGCCAAGCGTCGCCAGCGTATCGAGGAGGCGAAAGCGAATCGGTTGGCCGCGGGGGGTGCGGCCGCTGCGGTGGGAGCAGCGGGGGGTGATGAGGAAATGGCTTGAGCTCGCCGCGAGCGCCGAGCTGGAGGGCGTATGTGACGGTTGTATCCCTCCTCTTGCTTACCTGACCGCGATGACTCCCCATCAATGATTGTTTGTGTTTAGTTAGATAGTTTGATCGTAGTATAAGTAGCTAGGAGTGTACGATCGGTACACTAGTCAATTCTAAAAGCTTATCCCTGTCATTCGTGGATTGACTACCCAGAACTCTTGTGTCGGAACTCGTTCTTGGACGCTTCCGCCACACAAGCCCAGACAAGCTGGTATGTGAGGCCTGATTTTGATGTATCCAACATAAGGGGATGGAGCTGGAACCGGATGGATGGTGGGCCTCGGACGAAGCGAGTACTGTATATGCACGTCCGTCAGACTGAAATTCGGCAATATTCTGCGACTGAATGGGGTGGCCACTGGAAGTGATTCGGACGGACTGCGAGGAAGAAACATAGGGGGACTGAGGCCACGATATGAGCGCCCGTTCCTGAGTGCTCCGGTCACGATGCACAGATATCTTGAGCAGGGGCACGCTCTGCGGTCATGTCCCCTCTTCCCGGATAGTGCGCTCGATAGTAGCCTTTGTGCTGCTTTGTTCACATTCTGTTTCGTACAAATGAATAAATTAATGTGTCCGCGCTGGGAGAAGACCACGCCTATCCAGCGGGACCTGAGCTCCACGAGGGATCGGTGAGATTCGGTGTGCGCTCGAATTCAGTACCTCAGCTGCGCACTTGGTCATTTTCCGCGGAACTACCAGGGATTCATATCTGTGATGGATTGGCAGTAGCTTCTTGATATTCGTTATGTGTGCAGCAACGAGGCGTGCGATGCAATGACAAACCGAGCAACGCCGCATTCTTAGCCTGCGCTGAGCCATAGATACTGCGGAAATGAAATCCGCTTGGTCAAACTGATCAAGTTGGCCGTCCGAGCCTCGGGATGGGATGGCGACTGGTTCGGGGACATCTTGTTCCGTGATTAAGAGCTCGCACAATTTGGCAACGCTTTACATGTATATATGGGGATCGTCACTCCACAGCGGGCTACATGAAAGTGCCGCGGAGTGCTGTTGGAGTGCCGCAAAACATTTGGAGTGCCGCATGTTCGAGCCTGGAGTGCCGCAGGATTTCTGTCACGCGCCGCAGACGTCACGCTGGAGTGCCGCAGCGACCTACGGGGCAGGATATTTACATATCTATGTTTGTACAATTTCATTGAAAGTACTCAAAAAAGCAATCGGCAGGCCAAGGCATTGTCACCGTATTTCTGAGCAATGGTCCTCGCGGCGCTGATGTCCCATCAATATGGTTTGATGGCTTTCTGAGCGGCCGTTTTTGCTCACTCTTGTGAGTCCACTTCACTGCAGAGCCCAGAACAAAGTCGAGAACGATCTATAAATCTGAATTATCGGTTTCTACAATAATTAGAGGCATTCACCATTGCCCAAATGTCGAAACAATACAATACCTCACGGATTCAGCTTCACTAGGATGTGTATAACTCATTTTGTATTCATTTTGAACTTAGATAGTACAAAAGAGGTGGCATTCAAAACCCTTGAGATTTTTTTTGGGATGAAAAAATGCTCCCCGAAGTTTCAAGTCAAGTTCACCCTTCCAGTGGTCAATGAACTCGAGACAATCACCTCCCAGGCATCATAGAGACCTATGATCCAAAAACAGGCTCGAGGAAGTCTACACATTCAATTCTATTGGAATTCAAATAATTCATGTCAAAATATTGGGGATTGACTAGCGCAGACAGCGTTGGATGTGCCTGCAGCACTCTCAAGCAAGTGGCTGTGCTTTGGAGTGCTGCAGAGATAGCACATGTGTCACACTAGAGTCCCGCGCCAGCAGACGCTTTTGGATTGCCGCAGACTTGTTTGGAGTGCCACCAGAGGTCCTGCAATATGCTGTGGAGTCTGTGGCACACTGTTCCGGAGTGCCACAGGAGTGGGATCTCTATTGCTGCCACTGAGAACAGTGGTGTCTGGAGTAGTCCCGCTGCCTGCACAGATCATTCCCATGTCTATCAACATCTCAGCCAATGTGGATAGCATGTTGATTGTCAATCATCATTGTTGTTGTTGAGATCAATAATGTGGAGCATTGGGAGTGCTGCAGGAGTACCACAGAAGTGCTCCTGTGGCACCCCATGGCACTTTCAGTGAGCCCTCCAAAGAGGCGTGGAATGGAAATGAATTTGTTCAATGGAACATTATCAAACACAAGGCAGAGTGAAAAGTATCCTCATCATCCTTGTTGACAAGAAAGTGTCAATGGAATCTAATGTTTTTTATACAAGCATCCATACACAATTGATTCTGCAATTAGTTATCCACTTTCCACCATGTCAACGTAGCCACCTTTGTGACAATCAACAAGAGATAATGTCAAAAAGGGAAGTCAATTCAAAGACTGGAGAATACAACAAAAAGTAGCTGCAGTATTTATACCCAAATCCAGTCTGACTCCTATCTACAACTAATGAGTCATAAGACTATGTACCGCATGGAGTACTGGTTA